CATATTGGTCTGGATTTACCGATTTAGAAATATATGTTCGACATTTAAATCAGTTATGTCAGCGTTCCTGCCTACCGCAATTAAGAATGCCGTACGGAGCTATCATATTACAACTGGAACGTGAGTTGAACGAACTGCAACACTATAATTCCTTTCTGAGGAATCCAAACAATAGATACAAGAGAGGGCTAGTTAACGGTGTTGGCAACCTGGCTAGCGACTTGTTTGGGGTGTTGGATGACAACTTTGCAAAGCAGTACAAACAGGATATTGAGCAAATATTCCTGAATGAAAATCATTTACAGAGCCTTATCAAGAATCAAACTCTTATAATTTAATCAGAGTTCAGCGTCATCCGACGAAATGAGGCTATAAAGAATTAACAATTTACTTCCATGAACAAAAAAATGAAAACCTTATTGCAGGAAGTAAACAACGTACAATCGGAATCAACGCAAGGTCTCTATTTAACGTCATCAACTCTATCAGAATATTTTCGCGTACAACGAAGGCGAAAAGCGACGTAGACTAAAACGTACTAGAACTAGAAAGTACTACGTAGACCACAAAATACTTCTAAATAAATTATACGCTTACGGTATCAGAGGAAATATTTATGGCCTGATTGAATCTTACTTAAGTAATAGAGTACAGATAACACAAATAACAAGGATATGTCCCTATGAGAAAAAAAATGATAAATTATTCATCCTCTTGTAGACAAGTTATATCTGGCGTTCCCCAAGGAAGTGTATTAGGTCCACTTCTTTTTATTATATACATAAATGACCTTCCAAAAGCGACGAAATATGATTCAATTCTATTTGCGGATGATAGTACAGTACTGTTCACTGGAGAAAATAGCTCACAAATGGAACCAGAGATAAATATGACATTGGATTGTATTATTAGTTGGCTGACATCAAACAATTTACACATTAATCTTGACAAAACAAATTTCATGACATTTAGAAATAGAATAAGTAAATTAGCAAGTATGAACATAAATTACCGAAATAATAAGATCCAAGAAGTAGACGTTACAAAATTTCTAGGCATAAAGATAGACAATAATTTAAATTTTAAAGAACATATTCAAACTTTAAGCACTAAATTGAATAACTTTTCTTATGCATTGTTTAAACTTAAACAGACAGTTAATATTTTTACTGTACTCACAGCCTATAATGGTTATGTTGCACCAATTCTAAAGTATTGTGTTATTTTTTGGGGTAACTCTACTAATAAAGATGTGGTATTTAAAGCCCAGAAGAAGTGTGTTCGAGCCATAACTAGCATAAAAGTTACCGAAAGCTGTAAACCATTATTTTTAAAATTAAAGATTCTTACGTTACCATGTATATATATATTAGAGATAGTAATGTTTGTTAGAAAAAATACAATCTACTTTATTAAGCTTCAAAGCAAAAGATATAAATTCAATATATGTTTACCAAGCAATAAAACAGCGTTATTAAATAAAAGCATATTGTGTATGGCTCCACGGATATATAACCATTTACCAATTTCAATATTACAGATCGATGATATTAATAAATTTAAAAATAGTATCAAAACACTGTTACTAGAAAAAGCATATTACTCTGTCACTGAATATTTAGAGGATAATTTTATGTAATTTGCGACATATTAATTTATGTTTTGTTTCTTTTTCTTTTAAAGACTAATTTAATTAATTGTTTTAAATTTTTATATTTTGTAAATTTGCATGCCTTATGGTAGGATATGGCTAATGGACATTTTGTTTATAAGACCTTTTATTTTGTACCCATTTTCGCAAATGAATAAATGATTATGATTATGATTATGATTATGAAAAGATGCGGCGGAGATCAAACCAAACAATTTCTCAGAACACTCCCCGTGATAGATGCGATACAGAATACATAGCGAGGCTACATCCCTACGCAGTGCCAAAGAGTCCAGCCGATCCGAGAAAACAGGCCAGTTGACAATTCGGACAGCTCGTCGTTGAATGCAGTCTAGAGGGAATTCCGTATAAATGCTTGCTTATATGACGATTCGAAGATCTTTTACAATTAAAGTTAAATCACTTCAGTAATTATCATAAATTTGGAGTTTTATGTGTATGTCACAGGGATATGATAAAATCAGGGATTTGGCCAAATCCCTAAGGGATTTGATCAAATCACGGAGGATGTTAAAATAACAACACGTTTTTATCATTTCCCTAAGCAAATCAAGTGATTTGACAAATCTCAGTAAAGAAATCTAGTGATTTGAGCAAATCCATAAATTGGTTCAGTGAAATGACAAAAATAACTTTTGTGATATATTTAAGGTTTATTTTGTAAGATTACCTACATAATTATAATAATCAGGTGTCAATACTAATCTCAAAAATCACCACTAGAACATTATTAATCGAAAAAAAAGAAACAAAAATTAAAAAAAAAATATAAGTAGAATAACTTAACGTATCATACGTTAAGTTTAAGTTAAGGCGCGGTCACTGACAAGCAAGTGCGAGCGCGACGTTTTAATAGGTCGGCAAACGAGCAGACGGATTACCTGATGGTAAGCAATCAGCAAGCAACGGAGGAGTTACGAGTGCGTTGCCGACAATTTAGGGATTAGGGATTTGGAGATTTAGGGATTGAGGAGGGATTGGGGGAGGGGAAGGATTGGGCCTCCGGTAACCTCACTCACACGGCGAAACACAACGCTGTGGTTGTTTCACGCCAGTTTTCTGTGAGGCCGTGGTATCACTCCGGTCGAGCCAACCCATTCGTGCCAAAGCATGGCTCTCCCACACTTCGTAAACAAGAACTGGACATGTTTTATTATCATTTCACTAAATAAATTTAGGGATTTGTTCAAATCACTAGATTTGCTTAGGGAAATGATAAAAACGTGTTGTTATTTTAACATCCTCCGTGATTTGATCAAATCCCTTAGGGATTTGGCCAAATCCCTGATTTTATCATATCCCTGCGACATGTATATATTATCAAACTTACGACATGTACAACAAGGTCTCATCGACATCACATCTGTCATGGAACAGGTGGGTATCAATACCACCTGTTCCCGCCTGAAGAAAGAGGAGGCTCAAATTAATATCATAACACGCGAGATACAGGTGATCTCACTGTGCCACTAGAAAAATCAAGTGTCAGAAGTTTTTATAAGTTACTGCGAGTATTTGCTCGAGTATATCATGGAGAGACTAACTTATCATGGAGATCGAGATTCCTCTTGTTACCACAGAAAAATATGAACTGGATAAAATGATCCCTCTACAATGAGAAGAATCAGACGTCCATCCATATTTGATCCATATTTAGCATTTAATTTGAGGAAGGACTTGGTTTTATTCTTAACAGAAAACGACTTATTGCAGTGTCCTCACCCAAGTCCAGAAAAGATATTATGTTCCATTGATAAGCCAATCTATGAAATCAGAGAAAAGCCATCTATTTGCGATATTATTATCAATGGAATAATCACTTCAGCCTGTATACAGAAACAGTCGACGTGCGAGAATAAGTGGATCAAGTTACGGCGCCCGAACGACTGGCTGTATCAATGTTGTCAGCAATGTACTGTTCGCATACAGGGTGTAAAAAGACACTTAACGAAGCCGAAAGCCACGTATTCTACCCATTATTTGGATCATTTTTTTCTTTAAGACCATAGCTGGGACTCCACGGGTTCTCGGTTCTCTTTGAAGGTCAAAGCAAAGAGTATGTAACCACTACGTTGGGTCAAAGATGCATTTTTAATTTTTCTTTTTTTGCGCAATCGAATTCTAAGTATTATTACAAAACTTTTTTCCAAACAAACATTACCTGAATTTTCGATTTTTCTAAATAAATTACGCATTTGAAGTTACGAACAGTAGTGTACGTAATAAATAAATGCAGACCCGCACAAAAAACATCGTGCATCTCAGTAGGATTTTTATTTTACAGAATTGTTTTGTTGTTGCGAAGTAAAACGTCGGCCTACGTACTTATCACAGCGTTTTAATGCTAAGCTGTGAACCTACGCACACAATGACACGAAGCCCGTTTGCTTTACATTCCGCGCAATAATTTTTTTTTTTTTTTGATTCCTAAAAATAAAAGTCGTTTCCCAGTGATAATTTTAGCGTAAAGCTACTTAGTTAGAACTGCAGTATGCGTAGTTAACGGCTTCGTTAAGTGCCTATTTACGAATACGGAAGTGAAGTTATCAGGCAACGGTATAATCACTCTATGTCCAGGATGCACACTTAAGGGAGATTCTTTCAAGATTTACTCTCACAAGAACTTCATCAATCACGTGGACCATCATACAGAATTTAAGAGATGGAGCTTCATAGATGTCTGTTGGTAACGAGATAGTCAACACCAGCATCCCTTCGGTGGATACGTTTGTACCTGAGGATCATCATTCAATGTGGAGCCAGTTGAGATCAGACATAGATGATCTCAAGCAACAGTCAACACGAACGCTGAGTGTCCACGACGTGCATCAGTATAGCGTGCTCTACTCGCTGGTGGCCGGAGCGATCCTCACGGGATTTATCATACTTATCATCTGGATCCGAAGAAGACGGACTCAAAAGCTGGCATTGAAGTCAAGATTGGAATCAGCATCAGTAGGAACAGCCGACTGCCAAGCCGCAGCCTTCACCACGAAGGATCACCGAGAGCACATCAACCCTAAACGTGCATTCAATTAAGTTCGATATTCCTTTGAGTGATAGATGGTTTTATTATTATTGATACCCCTGACATTTTGATAATTAATCTTTTTTAGGCGAAATGCGAATTCGAATTCCTTCTCCCCTAGTATTGAAAAAAAAAACTGCAAATACAATTGACATACCATACATATTAATTCCCCCGGTCCCGTGTTAACTGCCTATACAGCACAAAGGAGATAAGTAAAACATCAAAACATCGTTATCACTAGAAAAGTACACCATGGCCCAGGATACAGGAATGATGAAAATAAAAGTATTGCGTTTGTTGTTTCAGTTAGTCTTTATTGGTCGTGTCAAAATTTACACAACGATTTAATAATTTATTTTTATTTTATAAACATTTCTTTATAAAAAAAAGATACAGATGCGCCGCGTGGCGCAGCCCGTCACAGACGGTGTACAGCCGCGTCTCTCTTTGTACATATAAAAATAGATCCTTATTTAACACTAGTCTAGGAGGAGAACGCGTCAGCTACTCATTTTAAATGCACAGTTTTAAAGTATGATATGAAACTACGTTTGGAGCACCATTTCATTAATATATTCCCGCGACGGGCGAGGCGCGACACGTCGCCCCACAGTCTCACCACACTCGCACGTACTCACGATTCCCAACATGTGTCCCTAACTAACATCTCGATACAATTTGTATAATGGAGAGCCGCTAGTGCCGCTAGTATTGAAACGTAGTAGTACTCGAAGTAGTAGCAGGTACAGAGTAGTGGTACTAGTTGTACGTATTCTGGTGGAGGGTTGCCGGCGGCCCGCGGCGGACTATCTCGGCTGTCCGCGAAGTGAGTCGCGGAGAAGGAAGATAAATATTTATACTTCTCACTATTACAATAATATTATTTACAATGTCACCTATCTAGTTCGTAATTACATGCTAATACCTGTGCTAATACTATGTACAAGTCTTATACCTCCTTTGTTCACACCTCTTGAGGAAAAAAGCAACACGCGAAACAGACTATAAATATATACAATTTCCATTCGCAGACATTCATTACACAGTACATTGTTTCGGTTAAACGGACCACTACTATGGAAAATAATTATTTCTGGAATGATTATGCTTAAACATAAATGCAAAATACAACAGTTTGTAAACATTTAAATTAAGTGCCCTGGGTATGAATTGTAAAATCTAACGTGCGTGGTTGTCAAAATAGTTTCACACGGGAAAGTCAAAAATCACAACCAACTTTTACCCATGAGTGATTTCATTAATACAATACGTAAGTAGCAACGAATGTATTCTGTGGCAGCAATACTTGGGCAAGTGTCCCACTCAGGAGTCAGGTTCATATTTTGTAAGAGTCGGCGAGTTCGGCATTCACATCGCTACAGTCGACGAAGCGTTCGTGTGTAGTGTAGGCCGGCGGGCTATAGACCGCGGGCGGGGCCCAGCGGCGGGGCCCGCGGCCGGGCGGGGCCCAGCGGGGGGGGCCGGCGGCCCGCGGGCGGCGGCGCGAGGGCCGCGCGCCTGCGTCACACGTCCGTATGGCGCGGCCCGGCCAGCGCGGGCTCCGTCTCGGCGTCCGACTCTTCGATCTCGCACAGGTTTGCCGACAACTCGCTGCCAGACCCGTCATCGTCGCCGCCCAGTAGTGAGTTTCGCTCCTCTGTAACAAAGATGGTGTAAGTCGGCAGCGACAGGGCGTAGGGGCCAGGGGCGCTGTGGCGCGGGGGCCCGTGACTACAGATTACTGACCGAGCATGGTAATGAGGCTGGCCGCGTCGGGCTCGCGCAGCGTGCGAGCGCGCAGCTGTTCCGAGTCGCTGGCGGCGCGCGCGCAGTACTCGTCCGTGTGCAGTAGGTACGAAGAAGCTATAAATAAGAATACTTTGTAAGGCGGCTGTATTTTGAAGTAATCACATCAGTTCGCATGCATCGGACTTTCGATAGTGTATGGAAACAACCGTAATGAATAAAATGTAATACATAATAAATGGAACGTGGATGGGTAGAGGACGGGAACTGACCGTCGGTGAGGCGCGGCGCGTCCATGTCGTCGGGCGCGGAGTCAGTGTCGGGGCGCGGGCGGCGCGCGCGGCGGCGCAGCGCGGGGCTGGCGGCGGGCGAGGCGGGCGACGCGGCCGACGAGGAGTCGGGGCGCTCCGAGCCCGCCACCTCGCTGATGCCGGGCAGCGCGCCCCCGCCGCCGCACCAGTCCGAGCAGTCCCAGTGGTAGCCGCCCAGCATGTGCGGCTCGGGCGCCGCGCCCCCCGCGCCCCCGACGCCCCCGCCGCCCCCCACGCGCCGTACGCAGCCCGGGGAGCGCGCGCGTATCCTGCTCTTGCATCCTTTGAGATCTGCAACGCGATTGTCCGTGCCGGAGATAATAGACATTGTTATTGTATTGAAAAAAGAACTTGTAATAGGTACTATGATACGTGTTGACTTCATAGACACGCGGCATGTGGTCTCTATACATTATTGTACAAGCCAGCTAGTTAGTGAGAGTGTGCGGTTACCGTTGTATATCTTGTTGTCGACGAAGGTGTGAAGGTGCATCTGTTCGGACCAGGGCTTGCGGTCGACGACGTCGATGTTGAGGTTGCGGCGGTAGTCGGGCGGGATGCCCTCCAGCTCGTCGCCGGCCGAGCCGTAGCTGCGCAGCGTGTCCACGTTGTTGAGCGGCGGCGGGTCGGCGCAGGACGCGGGCCGCTCGCGCCGCACGGCCTCCAGGTTGGACAGCTTGGAGCCGCGCGGCGCCAGCTTGTCGGCCGCGCAGCTGTTGAGCGGCGCGGGCGGGGGCCGCTGGCGACGCCGCAGCAGCAGCGGCAGCGCCGCCAGCGCCGCCAGCAACAAGAGCAGCGCGGCGGCGGCGGCCAGCGGCCAGCGCTCGCGCAGCGCCCAGCGCCAGGCGGCGGCCAGCGCGGGCCCGGAGCCGGCGCCGCCCGCGACGACGGCGTCCGAGTACAGCGGGTTGCCGCAGTTCATGCCTGCCACAGACGCGCCGCTCACTACGGGTAACTACTCAGCGCCTCCACGCTATCGCCAGTACGACCACATGCCCTACTAGTAGTACACTCGGTCTAGTACCGTGCCCGTAATAACGGGCCTCCTGTTGCCGGGTGACTCAAGAATTAACGATTTTTAATAATGTAAAAAAATTGTAAAGATTTTATTACAAATAATTACTTATCAACTTTTATCACAACGCTAAATCGACACCATTCAACCTTCCACCCATTTTAAAGTAAATAGTAAACTAATAACTTCAATATTATGTATGTTATTTATTAAATCATAAAATCGTTTCGACTCTCAGTATTCTTATCTCCCATGGACCCTGTACAGCATACAGTGTCCATAACAAATATTCGTGTTGTGGAGCGAGGCGGGCGCAATTTCATTTCTTAAAATACGTTAATAGAAGGAAACAAGTCTACGTGTTCGAACAATAATCCACAAACAACCAAATTGTGTCGTAATTATTTAAAAGTGTCGTATTATTTTGTACGGAGTAGTAGTATTTGCTGAAATGAAGGAATAATGAAAAGTACCGGTCTTGTCGGGGGGACACAGGCAGCGGAAGGAGCCGGGCTCGTTGACGCAGGTGGCGCCGTTGAGGCAGGGCTCGCCGGCGCACTCGTCCACGTCGTACTGGCAGCGCGGGCCGTAGTAGCCGCGGCAGCGACAGGACGGGCCCCAGTCGCCCTCCTCGCAGGCCCCCGCGTGGCCGCAGGCCCCCGGCGCGCACCAGCGGCCGCGCTCGCAGCGGGGGCCCGCCAGGCCGGCCGCGCACGCGCAGCGGAAGCCGCCCGCGTCCGCCGCGCACGACCCGCCGTGCAGGCACGGCTGCGACGCGCACGGGTCGGCGTCCAGCTCGCAGCGCCGCCCCGAGAAGCGCGCGTGGCACGCGCAGGCGTAGCCCTCGTCGGGCTCGGCGGCCTCCAGCAGGTCGGCCAGGTCGCGGCAGGTGCCGCCGTTGAGGCAGGGGTAGGAGGCGCACGGCGTGGGCGGCGCCAGCGCGGGGCAGGCGGCGCCCACGCGCACGCGCACGCGGCGCACGAGCTGCGCGCGCCCGTCGCCCGAGCTGGCGCCCTCCTCCAGCGGCAGCGGGGCGCCGCCCAGCTTCACGTCCGAGATGCAGCCCTTGAACCCGTACGTCACCTGTGTCCACACGGTACATCGAATATAACTGTCAACTTGTTTCTCACTCGTTCAATACCAGTTTGAATGTGAAATAATTTAATATGAGACTGCTGCGCTTCTGCGAGAAAGGATCTACGGTTGGATAATAGCACGACCTCAGAGTTGTATATCGCCGTTTAAGTGTAACCAAAGGCTCGATCCGTCCCTCCACACAGATAGGGATAGGGTTAGGGTAAGTCTTCTAGTGCTACGGGTGACGGACGGAGGTAATTGAAAAAAACATTATTAAGTACACATCAAACAGTCTACTGTTCAATATAACAGTGATACTAACTTCCTCAGTTAGGTTTTGTTACACAATGTATATCTACCAACTAAATTATATCGGTAAAAACTTTATGTATACTAAGGTCGCATAATGTCATTTTGCGCTTCGTCAAATCAAAGTCAAAGTCAAAATAATTTATTTTAACTAAACCATAAATAGGTATTTTTAAAACATCAAAATAGAATTTTAAAATATGCGTTAAAACACATATTTTATACGGCCTAACATAAAAGCGTCAATTTTAGGTAAATTATTGCCGTTCGCTTTGATGAATCCAGGTTCCATGGCAGTTTAGGCTAGTATTACCCGATATGGAAGGAAATAGCACTAAACTTTCTAAAAATTATAATAATAGAAAAAATGAAGTGACTTGTGGTGTTTTTAAAGTAAAGAAGAATAAGATAAACGCATGGTGTCGCGGCACGGACCTGGTCGGCGGCGAAGGCGTGCGCGTGGCGCGCCAGCTGCGCGCCCAGCAGCAGGCGGTCGGCGCGCACGTCGAGCAGCGCGGCCGGCGCCGGCGTCTGCGCCTGCGCGCTGCGCCGGTCCACCGTCAGCCGCATGCTGGCGCCGCGCCGCTCCACGCGCGCCTCGTGCCACTCGCCGTCCGCCACCGGCACGGCCGCGCGCACCGCCGCCGGGCCCGCGCCCAGCTCCATGCGGAACTGCAGGTAGCCCTCCGCCACCTCCAGCGTGGCGTAGTCCACGCGCCCCGCCGCGTGCAGCAGCGTGCCGCGCTCGGCGCGCGTGCGGAAGCGCAGCGACAGCGTCAGCTCGTCGTCCGGCATGCGCGCGCCCGCCGCCGCGCCGCGCTCCACGCGGTACTGCAGGTAGCCGTCGCCCGCCAGCGCCGCCACGGCGCGGCAGTCGGCGCAGGCGGGCGGCGCGCGGTCGCAGCGCTCGCCGCCGTAGCCGGCCGCGCAGGCGCAGCGCGCGCGCAGGCGGTGCGGCGGCGCCACGAGCGCGAACACCTCGGCGGCCGTGGCGCGCGGCGCGCCCTGCAGCTGCACGCGCTCGGCGCAGGCGCCGTGCAGACAGGGCCCGCAGACGGCGCGGCGCAGCTCCTCCACGACGAGGCGCGCGCGCTCCTCCAGGCGCTCCAGGTGCGCGTGCAGGCGGCGGCGCAGCGCGTCGGCGGGCAGGAAGCCGGCCGCGGCGCGCACGGCGAAGGCCACGTCCAGGTCCTGCGCCACCTGGCGGCGCGCGCGCCCGCCGGGCTCGTCCTCGTCCGCCTCGCCGGAGGGCTGCACGCTCACGATGACCACGGCGCCGGGCTCGCAGTCGCTGGCCTCGGCCACCGCCCGGAGGAAGCCCTTGCGGTGGCTCAGGATGAAGTCTCGGTCGGTCACTTCACGGAAACGAACGACGATCGCCTGCGCGAGCATCTCGTCCGATATGAGTATGACGGTAACTTTGACGATAGCGTAACCGAGGAATTTCCCATCGTCGACGGTCACGTTCAGTCTGTATTCTCCCACGTCCAGTCGGGGCGCTGCCTTCAATGTGCCGTCGGATGAATCGATTTCGAACAGATCCGTCGGAGGATATGGTGCGCCATCAGCTGCGGCGATTGCGTATGTGAGAGTATCGTAGGCGTCTCGATCGGAGGCGTACACTCTTCCTATGATACCGCCTGGGAATTCGTCTAAATAGGAGTTGACGACGACTTCGAGTGGTGTGACTACGGGGGGGTACTGCGACTCTTCGATGACCCTGATGTACACCCACGCGTCGGAGTACAGAGGCGGCGTGCCGTTATCGAAGACGCGGACTTGCAAGACGTATCGGTCCTTAATCCGGTGATTGAATCGTGTCGCCGATCGCAAGTAGCCATCTTGTTCCAGTCGGAAAGCTCCCATTTCGTTGCCGGATTGGAAGTCGAAGGTATAAGGGGCCGCATTCGGAGGCGCATCGGCGTCTTCTACGACGAATTTGAGGATCGTATGTCCCAGCGGCCTGTCTTCCTGCACCACTGCGCTGTAGTTGGAGTGCGCGAAGAGCGGCGGGTTGTCGTTGGCATCGAGCACCTCGATGTTGACGAGCGCGCTGGCCTCCAGCGCGGGCAGGCCGTGGTCGCGCGCGCGTACCTCCAGCACGTAGGCCGGCGCCGTCTCGCGGTCCAGCGCGCCCGCCACGGACAGGTAGCCCGTGTCGGCGTCGATGGCGAAGCGCGCGTCGCGGTCGCCCCGCGCGATGGAGTACGAGAGGCGCGCGTTGGCGCCCGCGTCCGCGTCGTCGGCCACCAGCTGCAGGACGCGCGTGCCCACGCCGGCGTCCTCGCGCACGCGCGCGCCGTACTGCGCCTGCGCGAACCGCGGCGCGTTGTCGTTGCCGTCCACCACCGAGATGTTGAGCGTGGCCAGGTCGCTGAGAGGGGGCGTGCCGCCGTCCACGGCCTGCACCGTGAGCAGGTACTGCTGGCGCCGCTCGTAGTCCAGCGGGCGCGCCACGCTCAGCACGCCGGAGGCGCGGTCCACGGCGAAGTCGTCGCGGTCGTCGCCGCCCACCAGCGAGTAGTACACGTCCGCGTTGACGCCGGAGTCGCGCGACGTGGCGCGCACGCGCAGCACCTCGGTGCCGGGCGCGTCCAGCTCGGGAACGGTGGCGCGGTACTGGTGGTACTCGAACTCGGGCGGGTTGTCGTTGACGTCGGCCACCGTGAGGCGCAGCGTGGCCGTGGCGGAGCGCGGCGGCCGGCCCGCGTCCTGCGCGCGCACTAGCACGCGGTGCTCGGCCTGCGTCTCGCGGTCCAGCGCCGCGCGCAGGGTGATGATGCCGCTATCGGCCGCTAGCTCGAATACGTCGCTGGTCTCCTCCACGAAAGAATAGCTTATCAGACGATTTTCACCTAGGTCGGCGTCGGTCGCGTGCACCTAAAATATTGGAGATGTTAAAAAGTGCAACCGGGTTATATGTAGGAACGTGACACATGCGGCACTGTATTGAGCAACCTTGGCCACGAGAGTCCCGATGTCGGCGTCTTCCGGCAGGGTGACGCTGTAGGTGGGCGTGGAGAAGCGCGGCGCGTTGTCGTTGACGTCGTCCAGCGCCACCTGCAGCTCGGAGCTGCACTCCCAGTCGGGGCGCTCGCGGTCCTGCGCATGCGCGCGCAGCCGGTACTGGGCGCGCTGCTCGCGGTCCAGGCGCGCCGCCACGCGCACCTCGCCCGTCTCCTGCAAGACGCGCGCGTCAGTGCCGGGCCGGCGCGGCCGTCGGGCGCGGCCGGCCAGCTCGTGCCGCGGCCTCACCTTGTCGATGAGGAAGTGGTGCGCCGCATCCCCGGTGAGATAGTAGCGGAGTCCAGCGTCGCTCGGTTCGTCGGCGTCACCGGTCTCCAACGTCATCACTCGCGTGCCGTTCGCTGCGTCTTCGGGTAAGCGAGCGTAGTACCGGTGACGTAGACAGTACGGCGGATTATCTGATGGAGTGCATGGGCGGCGTGAGTGGAATGAATGTGTAGAAGGCGGCGGCGGTAGGCAGGTAGCACTGACCGTTGACGTCGAGCACGTCGAGCAGCACCTTGGTGGTCGCCGTGAACTTGCCGTCGGAGGCGGCGACGGTGAGGTCGTAGCGCGGCTCCAGCTCGCGGTCGAGCGCGCGCGCCACGTACAGCTCGCCCGAGGCGCGCAGCTGGAAGCGCGCGCGCGGGTCGCCGTCCGCCACGAAGAAGGAGAGCGGCGCGCCGGCCGCGTCGGCGTCGGTGACGGCCAGGCGCAGCGCCACGGTGCCGGGCGCGGCGTCCTCGCGCACGGCGGCGCGGTGGCGCGGCGCGGCGAAGGCGGGCGGGCAGTCGTTGTAGTCCAGCAGACGCAGCACCAGCGTGCCGCGCGCCAGACGGCGCGGAGAGCCCGCGTCGGTCGCCAGCAGCGCCAGGCGGTGCTCGGGCCGCGCCTCGCGGTCCAGCGGCGCCAGCGTGCTCACCCAGCCGGTGTACGGGTCCACCGCGAACAGCGCCGCGTCCCCGGCCTCGCCCTCCTCGCCCTCGTCACCCTCGTGAGCCAGCGAGTAACGAATCTCCCCGTTCGTGCCCGCGTCCGGATCGTCCGCCATCACTACAACGTATGCAAATGTTATAATTTAATCTTATGACCTTTTGCTATATACATTTACTGTACGTAAACTGCTTATATGATGTTTAATATTATAGTCGTTTGTATTTTATTTACCTTATTTTAAATATTACTAGCTATGATACCTGGCTTCACTTGGTAATTGCTTTACGTGGTAGACGAAATAAGAAAAATATATGACGTAACAAGTAAAAAAATAGTTTTTTGAAATTCACATTTTCTCAACTTAGTTTTATTAAACAGGATGTCCCAGAAGTCGACGTCAAGCCGCAACTGGTTGATTCTGCTGCTCATTGTGGTCATCACAAAAAAAATATCGTAAGTATTTTAGTTATTTCAATATTACTTTTTTTAATGTACAACCCTTGATAATTTTTGGACGCCTGTTGCTACAAATCTTAACTTACTCCATTTTTTTTTTGGTTTGCAATTCTGAAGTGTCTTTTTGTATGTCTAACCCGACATCCCACCCTAACTGCTCCGGTTAGGAAGAAAGTGTGGCTTTTAATTCCAAATTATATTCCAGATTATTCATTCTATCAACTTCAACTAACTGTAATTGTACAAAGTACTGTTTATTAATGTCAATCGCCCGCGCAGTCAGCAGTTCCACACTGACCCAAACATTTAGTGTTAATATTTTTTTATTTTTATTTAATTTTATTATAATAGGTTCCCCAACAATTGTTTACACAATTTCAATTATAAAGTAAGTGTAACAATCACTTACTTACAATCACTCACAATCACGTGGACAAAGTGGCGCAATGGCATAACGTGGACTTCTGGAGGGAGCTCGGAAGTTAAAAAGTGCAAGTAAGCAGGGACTGTCTACTTTGTGTTTTATAATCTTATAGGCAAACATAGCACCCAGTATTTGTCTACGTTTGTCTAGCGATGTTATGTTAAATTGTGGCAGTCTTTTTTCATATGAGCGTATTCTTTTGGCGATACCATTAGAAAAAGCAAGATGCCATGCGAAACGTTTCTGGACACGTTCAAGACGCAGGGAATGGCAGGCAAAGTGAGGACGCCAAACCATACTATTATATTCCAAAATACTTCGAACGAGGCAGAAGAATTTTTGTTTTACTGTAACGAAAGTTTTTACTGTTTCTTAGAATTAACCCTAACATTTTTGAGGCTGGTTTAATAATATTGTCTAGGTGAGGCGTAAAAGTTAATTTCTAATCAAATAGAACACCAAGGTTTTTTATTGTCTCAACCTCTTCAATTTTTTCACCGAGAATATTATGATAATTACTATGTACCTATAAGAGTGTTTTTCTTGAGAATTTAACGTGGTAACATACGGTACATTAGACGATTGAGGTCACTTTATAGATAAAGTGGATCCTCTTCAGATTTGACAAGTCTCAAAACATCAGGTCATCTGCGTACATAAAATAATCTATGTGGAGGAAGTACTTTGGAATGTCGTTAATAAAATAAATAAACAAAATAGGCCCTAAATGTGAGCCCTGAGGGACACCAGACTAAACTCGACGCCGAGCAGAGTTATAGCCATTAACTACAACAAAGAAAAATCTATCCGCTAATAAGAGTTCAGCCACCCCCGCAAGGTTCCAGATATACTGAAGGCACACAGTTTAGTCATAAGCAGCTTGTGGGACACCTTATCGAAAGCCTTGCTAAAATCAGTATATATCACGTCCGCCTGGTAGCCTGTATCAATTGCCTTAACAAGAGTTTCAGTAACGGGTACCAAATTCGTAGTAGTAGAACTGGTCCTAACAAAGCCATGCTGATGATCACTTAAATACAGTCACAAATGAATATCCTGGATATATGGACAGATCAGTGACTCGAAAATTTTGGCGAATGACGACAAAATTGAGATAGGTCTTCTGATTTATGGACAGGCACAACTTTAGCTATTTTCCACTGTAGCGGGAACGCTGACACGTATATTTTGCATTATATACTGGAATGCTCTCTGAACCTTAGTTGTCCCGTACCCCGCACTCACTACAGACGCGCACATTAGGTTATACTACTCTGTCAAGAAAGTACCGGGAAAAAGTCAATAATACACAAAATGTTTGTTATTCATCTAAATTTATTTTATCACCTTCAAAGTATGCTCCTTCAGAAACGAAACACTTACGCCAACGAATAATCCAATCATCGAAACTTTTTTTAAACGCTGTTTCCGGAATTGAGTTCAGTGCTCGCCGCGAATTCTCCTTTATGTCTTTTAACGATTGAAAACGGGTGCCACGAAGGGGTAATTTGAGTGTGGGAAAAAGAAAGAAGTCGGCTGGAGCCATATCTGGTGAATATGGTGGCTGCTCGATGGTGTTTGTTGAGTGTTTGGACAAAAAATCGTTTACAATGATGGCCTTGTGCGAAGGCGCATTATCGTGATGCAAAATCCAAGAATTTTCTTCCACATTTCTGGCCTTTTTCGTCGAATTTTTTCTCTTAAACGCCGCATAACGCTCAAATAATATTCTTTATTTACCGTTTGACCTTCGGGCAAGAATTCTGAGTGCACAACACCGCGATACTCAAAGAAAACAGTCAACATGACTTTGACTTTTGATCGACTTTGACGTGGTTTTTTCGGTTTTGGTTCAGTTGGAAGGCGCCATTCCGAAGCTTGTTGACTAGTTTGCATGTCAAACTCGTAAACCCACGTCTCGTCACCAGTAACAATGCGTTTCATGAATGTTGGGTCGGTAATGACTCGTTCTAGCATGTCCTCAGCGACTTTCATGCGATTTAGTTTTTGAAGAAAATTCAGGTCTTTTGGGACTAGCCGAGCGGCAACACGTTTCATACCCAAATTATTTGTTAGAATGGTAAGGATCGACTCGTGAGATACAGAAAGTTCGGCGGCCATCTCTCTTAAACTTGAATGAGGATTTTCAGTCACTATTTCCTTCACTTTTGCGATGTTAACTTTAGTTGCAGACGTTGATGGCCTACCAGAACGAGGCACATCTTCCATCACATCTCGACCGCTTTTGAACGCTTTGTACCACTCATAAGCACGTGTTTTTGATAAAGTCGATTCACCGTAAGCCTTCTGTAACATTTTGAGTGCCTCCGAACACGAAATTTCATTGGCGATGCAAAATTTAAGACAAACTCTTTGTTCGATGTTTTTGTCCATTATGAAATTCGCAATACACACTAGATATTATAAAACTAAAAACAGCACTGTTTCTAATATAAATAACAGATGCAACTCAAATTCCGCGCCAAAATGGAAAACAGTTATGCCAATCTAACAACAATAAAAAAAATTAAAATTCGCATTTGGAACCATAAAAAAACATTCATTCCCGATACTTTGTTGACTGAATGTATACTTATGTACTAAGTTCAGTGTGTTTTGAAGACATTCAAATATAATTAATTGGTAGTATATTTCAAGAACTTTTATTTCTCTCTGTACACAATCAATCACCTTAACGGAAATGTACCGGATATTAAAACTTGCTGTGAATTAACATAAGTGGGTAAGCCAGCTCAGAAGCGCATTCTTAAATTGGTGGAATTCCATCTGGCCCATATTAATTTTATTAACATTATTGTAAAATTAGTTAACGTTCGGTCACCAACCAAGTCGCGTTTGCTCATACCATTACCATTTAACCAATATATATGTACATATTTTCCCCATATTTTACCAAAACAGTTTCTACTATTTATACGTTGGCCTTTAATAAACTATACTTTGTAGAATTACAGTTAATTGAAGTTGATAGAATGAATAATCTGAAATTAAAAGCCACACTTTCTTCCTAACCGGAGCAGTTCGGGTGGGATGTCGGGTTACACATACAAACAAACTACTTTTCTGGGTATAACCATAGATGACAAACTACAATGGGGGCCCCATATCACATCTCTGGCAGGACGGTTGAGCTCTGCAGCATTTGCTGTCTGGAAGATCCGACAGCTAACAGATGTGGACACTGCAAGACTGGTGTACTTCGGCTACTTTCATAGCATTATGTCGTATGGCATCTTGTTGTGGGGACAGGCTGCTGACATTGAGTCTATCTTTGTCTTGCAAAAGCGTGCCATCAGAGCTATTTACAATCTAAGGCGTCGTGAGTCTCTTAGAGAAAAGTTTAGAGAGATCAATATTATGACCGTGCCATGTCAGTTTATTTATGAAAACATTATGTATGTTAGGAAAAACTTAAAAATATTCGATAAGGTGTCAGATAGACATAATTATCAAACTAGACATAGAGAAAGATTATGTCAGCCATTATTTAGATTGGCAAAGGTACATAAGTCGTTCATGGGATTCTGTGTTAAATGTTATAACAAAATCCCAGGCGAAATACAACAATTAAATGAAAAAAATTTTAAATTATGTGTAAAGAAAACTTTATGTAGAAAAGCATACTACACACTGAATGATTACATTGTAGATAAAGATGCTTGGAGACATGCTGGTCCTGCTCCACAGGATAGCAAACGTACACCAAAATAAATAACGTTCCAATGGATTTTGCTTGAACGGGACTTCTTCATTTTAGTGAAATTGCATTATATTGTATAACTATAACTTGATAAATTTGTAAATGTGAGTGCCCTGTAACCTATTATAATTGGTTAGACTAGCAGAATGTCGGTCCTTATAACAGCTTGGAGTTGTCATGCTCACTGAAAGGTCACACTGGCGGTGGCATGGGCACTGGATCGCTTAATTCCCTATAATATGGTTGAGTTGGGCGATGCTGGTGTACGTGTCATGCTCGTGAACGAGCGCCGTCAGTTGGGACTGGTCAGCTCCAGACTGTCTATTGTCCTTAAGGTTACTTTATTTTTATATTTGAATAAATATTAGTGTTACACTGTTCTCACATAATTGAACCAACTGTTTGTAAAAGGAATCTGTATGTGAAACTGATTTAAAAAGAGTAACCATGGAGTTTCTTGCTCGTTCTTCTCCATCGGAATCTACACTTTGGAACGAGCAAATAGCTTCACTAAGAGGACTGACCGACAGACTGACACTATTTTTTTATTTTATATTTTGTTTGACGTTCAAAAGTGCCTGTAAAGGTCTAATTGGAATAAATGATTTTTGACTTTTTGACTTTTGAAACACACTATTCAGAATTGCAAACCAAAAAAAATTGGAGTAAGTTAAGATTTGTAGCAACAGGCGTCCAAAAATTATCAAGGGTTGTACATTAAAACAAGTAATATTGAAATAAAATAAATACGATATTTTTTTTTCTGATGACTACAATAAGCAGCAGAACCACCCAGGTGCGGCTTGACGTCGACTTCTCGGACACCCTGTTTAAAATGATTTGTATTTTTAAACGATTTTATTTAGCTCACCCCGTTTGTTTTATTATTTATTCTTTCTTGGGTCAAATTTAGTAATTCAAATTTCACCCTCTTCCTGTCAACCGATTAATCAGAAATTTTGACAATTTAGCAACATTTTAACAAACAAAATGACCGTATTTATGCTCAAAGCTCTAAGGAAGCGTCTCAATTAGTCGACAGAGTGCAACGTGGGCATTATCCGACTTCAGTGATGGTTTGGTGGGGTGTTAGCTATGAAGGAGTGACTGAGCCATACTTTTCCGAAAAAGGTATCAAAACATCGGCACAAGTGTATCAAAATACCATTCTTGAGAAGATAGTTAAGCCCCTTAACAACACCATGTTCAATAACCAACAATGGTCCTTCCAGCAAGACTCGGCGCCGGGTCATAAAGCTCGGTCCACGCAGTCTTGGTTGGAAACGAACGTTTCCGACTTCATCAGAGCTGAAGACTGGCCGTCGTCTAGTCCCGATCTTAATCCGCTGGATTATGATTTATGGTCAGTTTTAGAGAGTAGGGCTTACTCTAAACGTCATGATAATTTGGACTCCCTAAAACATGAACATGAATGCAGTGCAATGCGCGCTACAGAACAGTCGCGTTTTCGCTGCACGGTACGAATATTATATTCGCGTTTTGCGCGGCATTAGCCGCTGCCCGTTTTAGTCGCGATGAGTTCTAAACCGATCATCGCCATTGAAGTTTTGGCATTCATTAATCATGCCATCGATTATATGGATGAGGTCAGCATCGTGCAGATCTGCAGATCAGCCTACAAAGAGGACGAGGTTTGCAGTGCAAAGCTGCTGCTCTTCAAGTCGCTCGGACAACTCGAGCAGATGCCATCCCGCCGAAGGGACGGTGGGGACAAGATATCATCTCAAGGCCTGCAGGATATCATCTCCCTGCTGAAGAGGACAGATCCTGATGACGTGCCTGAGTTCGTGGCGAAAGACTTGCATAAGCTGCCTCCCGTCACGTTCGATCACGTCGATGTCACCAGGCTGTTGAAAGACATAACGTGTCTTAAGGCGAGCCTGGAAGATATGAAGCTCGGTCTTCTGTGAGGCCGTGGTATCACTCCGGTCGAGCCGACCCATTCGTGCTGAAGCATGGCTCTCCCACACTTAATATGTTTTAAGCCTTTGTCTGAATGTTGAAGGCAAATCCTCCGCTATCGGAGGTCACCGGTGACCCCCATGGCGCTTAACGTGTTAAATTGTTTTATATTTATGTATTTAACTTAAAAAGTTTTTTTTACCTATTTTTATTCCTTTTTGACAAGGGTCCTTTCAGGAAGCATTAAAGGGACCGCACTACGGAGAGCTGGCTAACTTTAAAATGAAGGGACTATCGACTCCCTTCCAAAGCAACCAGCACCCGTAAAAAGCCACCAGACAAAAATCTCGGTGTCTTCTGTCAAATTTTGGAAATTGAAACGATGTAAACAATCATTTGAAACGTGATGGCAAACGGGACGAGCATTAGACCTGAACACGTGATCATTATACTGTCCAGCAGGCGGTACTCTAAGTACAAGAGCTTGACTTGGAAGATCTCCATTTACAGTAGTTATCCTTGCGCTTACAGACTTCTACTTTTTCGGAATTTGAACCAAAAGAAACCGAGAAGCAGTACATTTGAAGAAATCTAACTGATGTCTTCAGAAGGGCATCAATAATGCGTTGGCAAAGATGTACTAATTGCATGAGTAGTTACTTTGATTAAAACACATCAAAAATACAGAAAAAACGCTTCTTCTTTTGTGATAAACGGCTCAATAGTCTTATAAGGTGACTGCATGGTTATGGTGAAAATAGTGAAGTGAGGGGCAACGTTTTTATAATGACATGATCACATCCGTTTTGAACCATCTCCTTCTAGCACTGACTCATGCCGTCACGTCGAAGGCGCGCAGTGGCCAAGTACCATAGGACAGCCAGTCACACAAAGGAGGAATGGAGGCAAGTTATGAAAGAAGTGGTTACACTGCACGATGCTGGAGTGCGGCGGAGTGTTCTCTGCGATGTGGACGACGTAGGGCTGCGAGTGGAAGCTGGGCGCGTGCTCGTTGACGTCCAGGACGTGCAGCCGGGTCTGCACCATCACCGCCGGCGCCGGGCTGCCAGGGCCCTCCGCGATGATTCCTGGACACATTATAAGTCTGGATACATTCATGTTTCTTACTTCCATCAGCGAAGATAACGTTCACTGGACTTTTATAAAAATTTGAACAATAATGCAGCATCAGCCAAAATCTCTTTTCATCTGGATAAGATAAGTGATGCAGAAGCTATGCTACACATATAAGATTCTAAACAAGCTTTACTAAGATAACTGTAACGTATCATCTATGATAGTTGGTTGTACCTGACGTACAAACTAAGTTATAGCGTCTGCATATCGTTTGCTGTAACTTAGTTATACTAACTTAGCCATATAAGATGTTGAACAAAAATTGTAACGGTATTTCCAGAGAAGGAAACTCTATAACCCGAGTTAATAGAAAACGATACTTCTATGAATTTAGTATATCTATATTGGTGGTGAGGTCATAGAATTTTACACGTTAATTATTATTTCTGTTATATTATGTAGAAAAATAATTAAATTAAAGATTTAAAAATGTTTCATATAAAAAAAGCAAGCAAGAGCAATCCCAGTAAGAAGGTGTAACGTACCAATGATATGTTCGGCGGCCGTCTCCCGGTCCAGCGGGGCGGCCAGTACGAGGCGGCCCGCGTCGTCGATGGCGAAGAGGTCCCGCGGCCAGAGCGCGGGCGCCAGCCGGTAGCGCGGCGGCGCGGCGCCGGGCGGGCCGAGGTCGGCCACCAGCGTGCCGGGCGCCGCGTCCTCGCGCAGGAACAGGTCGGGCGGCGGCGCCAGCAGGCGGGGCGCCACGTCGCGCGCGCCCAGCACGAACACCTGCACGGGCGCCTCGCCCGCCAGCCCGCCCCCGTCGCGCGCCCGCACCCACACCTGCACGCTGCGGGACGCTGCGGGCCAATCACTCTACATTATACCCTTCAGCACTATAATTAACTTTGATTAACCTAATTTGTGCCCATGTTTAAGTACATCACTATTTAAGGAAGAACAAGATTCCTATCCTTTGCTTCCACCTATATGTACATTAAAAAATATCTCATCTAAAAACAATTATTTAATTTTAAAATTTATTGTTTTTCGTATTTTCTTTTTCTCTTGCGTCCCAGACTTTAGATACTTTCAACTCATTCCCTCCTTAGTCATTTTCCCTGTCTTTCTTTTTGCAGTCTTTTCAGTGTTTCACTTCTACATACCTAACAGTATGATCACCCGGGCAAAGACAATGAAAATTAAACTGAGGGCGCCGCTTAAGGAACTGGAGTCATCCAACCTCCTGTGTGACCAACTGCTGCAGGAACGACACGACAGTGAAGTGGAAGTGAAGAATATTATTAATAAGAATACCAAACTCAAAAATGAATTGTCCGAACTACATGTATGGCACACAGACCTGCTAGACCAGCATACTACATTATTTAACTTAAATTACTGCTTTTAAGGAGTGTACAGAGACTTATGAACATGCTCTGACACGCGTATCGCAACTTGAGCATGGTCTCAGAGAATCTCTCTCAAGAATTATGACTATTTGTGTGATCCACAAATTGTTGTTCCGGGTGTGGGTGTGATGTGTATGTGAATTTGTATGTTTGTAAACGCACCCACGACACAAGAGAAAAATGTAGTGTGGGGCAACGTGTCGTATTCGTAAGCGGGCGCCGTCAGTTGGGGACTGGTCAGCTTTTTATATTTCTCTGAATAAATATTTGTGTTACACAAATATTTTTTTAGTAAATCAGATTTAAAAAGAGTAACTATGATGTTTTTTGCTCGTTCTTATGGGTCGATTACACCTAACAAGTACAGTGGTGAGTCAGTGTCCTCGGCCGAGTGCTCGGTTGGTATAAACACTTTAACGAGTGCTCGGCCGAGTACTCGGTCGAGAAGAGAGGCGAGAGAGTCACTAGATTCCCAATTTGTTTACTAGGCCGAGTACCCACCACCCCACTTCATTCTTCTGCCCCCGCAGCGACTCGCTATCCCGCTCGGTACGTATAAACACGCAGTCGCTTGTGACTCGGCCACTCGCCACTCGTTCGTTATTCGTCATCAAGCAGTGTGCGTGTTTGTGTATTTTTTCAAACACTTTATTCACCAACCACAATCCACAATTCGTTAATAATATCTGGTAACAGCCGATTTAAAACCCGTTTAAATTCGTTTTTTCTTCCGATCGATTGTAGACATCGTGATCAAAACTGAACTGACTCGCCACTGGAGTAAATACGTGTAAACACCCACTCGGTTCGGCAACTCTCTCGGCCGAGAGCTTACTTACTGACTCACCACTGTACTCGTTAGGTGTAATCGACCCATTATCGATCGGAATCTACACTTTGGAACAAGCAGATAGTTTCACTAAGAGGTCTGACCGACAGACTGACACTATATGTCTCTTCAAAATTTTGTTTGACGTTCAAAAGTGCATGTATGGGTCTAATTGGAATAAATGTTTTTTGACAACAAATAACGGTACGGCTGGCTAGGGTGAGTATCCCTAGCGGTGTTCCACGAGGAGCAGTAATCGAGCATTAAAGAGGAGAAAGAGCTGACCGTAGGGCGTGGCGTCGCGCGCGAAGGAGAGCGCGCCGGTGTGCGCGTCGATGGCGAAGAGGCCGGCGGTGTCGGAGCGCGCGTCGCCCTCGTAGACGGAGTAGTGCAGGCGCGCGTGGTCGCCCGCGTCCGCGTCGCGCGCCGCCAGCGTCAGGAAGGGCAGGCGCGGCGCGCGGTCGGCGCGCACGGCGGCGCGGTACTCGCGCAGCGGGAACTCGGGCGCGTTGTCGTTGGCGTCGGCCACGCGCACGCGCACCACGGTGTGCGCCAGCAGGCCGCCCGCGTCGCTGGCCGCCACGCCCACCTCCCACTCGGCGCGCCGCTCGCGGTCCAGCGCCACGCGCGTGCTCAGCGCGCCGCTACTGGCGTCGATCGCGAACGTCTCTCGCAGCCGGGCCGACGGGATCGAGTACGTCACCGTGCCGTACTCTCCGGGATCGTCGTCGTACGCTTTAACCTGTGGAATCGATGACCGCTCCGACGTACTGATATTCATTTCGTGGAAGAATCAATTATCAAAATTGGCATGCGTCCCAGGTTTCTTTAGCGGCGAGAGAAATGATTCAATCGATTCGACCCTCCTCCGAACCAAATACATATATATTATCATTGTTTACATACCGTCGTCAAAAGTACAGGCGGCGGTTGGTTCTCCAGTACTCGAGCTTCGTGCACCAGGTGCGGAAAGTGGGGGGGGCTGCGGTTGGCGGGCGCCAGCGACAGCTTGACGCGGGCGAAGGCGGCGTGCGCGCCGTCCGACACGGACACGTTGAGCGAGCGCAGCGCGCCCCCCGCCGCCGCCCAGGCGCGCCCCGCCGCCAGCGACACGACGCCCGTGCGCGGGTCCACGGCGAAGGCGCGCTGCGAGGCGGCGCCCTCGAGCGCGAAGTGCAGGTTGGCGGCGTCGCGCTCGTCGGGGTCCCAGGCCGCCACGCGCGCCAGCGCCGTGCCGCGCGCCGCCTCGGCCGACACCAGCGCCGGCACCACGCCGCGCTCCACCACGGGCGGGCTGTCGTTCACGTCCTCCACTGCAAGCACGGCCCGCGTCAGTAGCGCGCTTTGCGTCGCGTCTCACCTGTCCGGCTGTCGACTGCGGGCCTTACGGGAGATGAACAGGTGGGCCGTGGTGACGAGAGGCGGCCGACCGGCGTCCGTCGCCGTCACCAGCAGGTGGTAGTGCGCTCTCGTTTCCCGATCGAGCGGAGCCGCCACCCGAACCGTGCCAGTCGAGGGATCTATGACGAAGGCGCCCTCGGCGGCTGAATTCATTTCGGATAGTGAGTATGTCACTTGTCCGTTTTCACCTAGACGAGAAGAAAACATATCGAATGAGAGAAGGCGAGCAGACGAGCCGAGCGGGAAGCGCTGGAGGCGCTACGCACCGGTGTCGTTGTCGCGCGCGTGCAGGGTGAGCACGAGGTCGCCGAGCGGCGCCGCCTCGGAGACGGAGGCGCGGTACAGGTCGCGCGGGAACTCGGGCGCGCAGTCGTTGACGTCGAGCACGCGCAGCGTGAGCGCGGCGTCGGCGGAGGCGCCGGTGACGGGGTCGGTGGCGCGCAGGACCAGCTCGTGGCTGCGCGCCGCCTCGTAGTCCAGCGCCGCGCGCGCCGCCACCACGCCTGCAACACGCTCGCTGCGTTACCTGCGCGCCGGGCTCGCCGCTATATAGCTACCGACGCGGTATGTACTCGGTCAGTCAATACATGCAAGTCTATACAAAGCTGAGGCGCAAACCCATGCAATATGTTAACATTGTTAAATGATATACATTTAAAAAACATGTATGTATGGAAATAATTAACAAAATGTTTTAACTTTGATTCGCATTTTTTTACAGAACACTTATTTACAATAGCTCTCTTGCTGTCGCTGTCGAACATTTGCACCATGAAGAGTCAACAAGTTCAAATGAAAATAATTTGCTTTTAAAGATGCCATACCCCGTAAGAATCTGGTCTCCAACACAATGATCTACACAATGATCCACCTCCAACCATGTCTTCTCCAGCCGCTCTTGTACGGATGGAAAAAACTGATAAAGGTGGCGACCCTTGATAGAAGATTCCCATCTACACTCCCATTCAGTAACAAGCTCATCCCAGCCGTCATTTCGTTTTACTGGAACGTTACTGAACTTAGCAGACGGCCATGATTTCAGATTACCCTTGAGCAAAAGCGGATACACAAAGAGGTTCACAGTTCGGCACGCTCCGCAACTAAGGCCGGGCGAATTACTTGTAGGCAAAGGTTTCATTTGCAATGACCATTAATAAAGCACAAGGCGTTGTTGGAGTGTACTTGGAAACCATTGTTTTTCGCATTATGTAGCCTGTTCCCAGATATCCAGCGCCCAAAATCAAAAACATGCGTTTTTGCTCCCCAAGGTAAAACATATAGTTTACCATTCAATTTTGGTTTAGCAACTCATCGTCATCATCATCTTCCTGCCCTTGTCCCGTTTTATTTGGGGTCGGCGCAATATGTTTTTTTCTTCCATTCTGTCCTGTCACTCGTCACGCTATCGCTAACTCCTCTGTCTTCCATATCACTTCTCACACAATCCATCCATATTTTCTTTGGTCTCCCCCTGCTTCTCCATCCATCCACATTTATACTTAGTTTAGCAACTCATCGTATCCAGCATTATATCGCGCTTCTTAGATTTTTCCGTTTGAATGAGAAGTTTTCTTAAGATATGCTTTATAGCTCAATATAACCGAATTCCACGAGAGCGAAGCCGCGGGCGGAAAGATAGTTGTATATATAAAGAACAAGATCGGACCCAATATGCTGCCTTGAGGCACGCAACACCTTATATATTTAAATTCAGATGAAAATTTTATCATATTCTGGTTTTCATCGATTCTGGCGATAATGACCTTCTGTTTTCTTTCTGATCCCCTGTTGTTATTGCGCAAGTTATAATGGTGCAGTGTGAAAAATGTACTTAATAAGTTTGTGGCTGCGGCCGAGGACGAAATTATAAAGTGTAAAGCTGTTTTCGATAAAAATGCGCGGCAAAAATGTGAAGATTGCAATATCTGTGCTTGTGGTAGAACCATCTAGTCCAGATGATTCTACCATTAGCATTCTGGCGTACATGAATAAAAAATGGAAATAAGGTTCAACATGGAGAAAAAACTAAGCGAGCTAACCGACCTAGTTGATTTTATATCCGGAAAAAACGATAAGCTATATGAACTTCAATCTTTAAATGAAAAAAGATGAGAGCTCTTGAAAGTAAGAATGCGTATTTGGAAAAATGTAAATAATAAATCACTAGAAGAACGAATAAACGAGTAAGAAGAAAAGTACAAAGAGAAACAGGTGGAGCTGGCTGGCTTACAGAAGAACAATAACGAAGACATATCTAAGGTTGTAACCCAGACAACACACTCAACTGGCCCCCTCGCTATGTCAGTAAAAATATACAACAAGTTACCTAAATCCTTAATAAACGAACCTAAGACCAATGAGTTTTGACACAAATTGAGACGATTCCTGGAAACAAAATGTTATTACACAATAAAAGAATTCTTTGACGATAAACTCACTTAACAAAATAAAACAGTACATGACGTAACTATATACATTACATATAAAAACTATCTCTGTCGAAATAAATGTAAAACTTTAATTTTAAATTCAACCAACACAACAATAAGTAATTAATAATATAGAATAAACATATAAGTAAGAAGTATACAAATAATAACATAACAGAATAAATAATAATATATTATGCATAAATTATTAAATGATAAATTTAATAAATAAACTACCATAAAAAAAATACATGTATAACTAGCTTTGCTCGCGATTCCGTTCGCGTGGAAAAGTGACTTCCTGCAGACAGTTATTTCGCATTAATAATATAAGTATAGATAGTATAGATTAGTGTAGATAGAATAAGCTATATAAACCTGCCTAAAATTGTAAACATATACGTATTAATACTAGCCCTCCTCATACAATAAAATAATATTGTTATGCCCGACAGGGCCCACAATGCTCTAAAACTAATACATATATGTGAATCGTTATGTACCCTACCACCTAAGTTCACAATGTGGAATGCAATAAGTATATTGATTATTGAGTATTGAGTATCGCTCGTAAACTGCAGCTGGACTCCAGTGAGATTGAGCATGCCGAGCGGGTAGCCCGAGAAAACCCTGGGATTGAGAAACCACTACCAGTCGTAGTTACTTTAAAATTTAAACAAGCTCGTAACGAGTGGCTCGAGTTGCGAAAGAGTAACATTGACAACTAATGGCCAAATTTATGGCACAAGTAACACAAACCGTGTTTATATGAATGAAAGCTTAACTCGATACAAAAGAAGTCTGCTTTGGGCCACAAAGTTACATCTTCAAAATTCCTATAAATATATCTGGGTAGAAGTACGGTGAAGACCAGCATCTTACTGAGATACATCCTTCCCCCGGGTCTCCTTCAACTCCTACTCTTGCGAATCTCCACTCAAGCCAGCCAATTAAGGCAAGAATGAGGTGGGAGGGCTTGTTCCTCGTCACTGTTCACTCCAGCTGGCCACGAACACTATTTAGAGATGAAGAACAAGACACCTCCCGGGAGTCAAGTCCGTGGGTCGCCACTGCTCAACAGCTCGCCACAAGCTGCCTTGCGAATTTATTATTATATATTATTATTAAAATATTGCAAAGGTGGTCCTCGGATTACAATAACCTCTAATATCTGCAACAATCTATCGTACGTAACTAAATCGAATGCTTTAAATTAGTTTAAATAAGTCAAAGAATATACCAGTTGTAAGCTGATTTTTGTTGACATTGGCCAATACTACTTTCAGAAGTGATAATATAGTAGAAGTCGTAGATTACTGTTTTTGGAAGCCGAATTGTTCTTTTTATATTATGTTGTACTTCTCACAGTCTGTGATTAACCTTATTATTATTATTATTATACTTGAACACACTAGCAGCTTAGAAAGCTGATGCGTGCGTATTAATGGATTTGGAGATTTTGTCGAGTCTTTTTTAAAAGAATTAACTGTGGGTGCTTTTAACATTTTCTGGGAGTTTATTCCATTCCGTGACCACCCTATTAGGTAGGAAGTGTGTCAGGGGATTCAGTTTTGAGGATGTTCTGCATAGTTGTAATGAGTGTCCTCTCAAATATCGATTTTTATTAAGAAGATACATATTCTTATATACATACATTTCTCGTAAATTTTGGACATTATACGTATTAATGTTACGGGGCAATAATAAGACAAATTATGATGCAATTCGAGAGGAAATGGCATCAATAGATTGGGTTTCTAAGCTTTCCACCTCTAAAGACACCAGTGTTGATTCCATGGTAAGTAAATTTTATGACAGTATCAGTGACATAATAAATAAACATATTCCTTCACGTAAAGTTATTATTAATACAGCTCGCTATCCACCTTGGTATACTATTCCATTAATTAAAATAGGCAAAGAAAAAAGAAAATTTCATACAAGGTGGAAACGCTATGGAAATCCTTTAGATTACCAAACTTTTTCAAAACTTCGAAAGAGAGAGGCTAGTCTTCATAATGTCGAGTATCATAAATATATTAGATTGAGTGAAAATAATATTAAAAAAATCCCTAAATTGTTCTGGCGCTTCGTTAAATCAAAGTTACCATCGAGTCACATCCCTCAAATGGTGAAATGGGAGGAGCGTGTGTCCAACTGTGGTGAAGACATTTGTAATTTGTTTAACGAATATTTTAATTCCGTTTTTGTTGAAAGTGTACCGCGTCCCACTTCCTACGATTTTGATTGTCCGCCTTTAACTCCCCAGTTAGTATCGGCTCTGTATCCATCACCATGGAAGTTATTGACAAGGAACTAAAAATAATTGATATTAACAAGGGACCTGGACATGATGGAATACATCCCTTATTTATTCGTAACTGTGCGGATCTATTAACATTACCTTTACATTTTATATTTAATAAGTCTTTGGAAGTGGGAATATTTCCATCAGTATGGAAACAGGCTCCTTTAACCCCAATTCCTAAAAATGACAAAAGAAATGATGTATCTCAATATCGGCCTATTTCTAAAACTAACTTATTTGGTAAAATCTTTGAGAAAATTGTCACTTCTACTCTTGTAGGCTCATTGAAGAATCATATCTCTAGCAATCAACATGGTTTCTGCAAAGGTCGCTCTGTTGAATCTAACATGCTTATTTTTACAAATTATTTAGTGAACGCCATGGACAAGAAGTCACAGGTGGACGTTGTGTATACCGATTTTTCCAAGGCATTTGATAAAATTAATCATGATTTGCTTATAGAAAAGCTGTGGAATATCGGTATACATGGCGACCTACTCCGCTGGATAAACTCCTACATCAAAAACCGATCCCAAGCAGTTTCTATAGAGGGACATGTGTCTAGGTTCCTAGAAATTCCATCAGGAATTCCTCAAGGATCCCATGCAGGGCCATTATTTTTTATTTTATATATTAACGACATTGAGAAAGTCATAAATTATTCGAGAATTCTATTGTATGCGGATGATGCAAAAATTTTTAAGACAGTAACATGTTATGACGATTTTTTGGAACTGCAGTGACCTGGATCGTATATCTGAATATTGCTCATCAAATCAACTGTATTTAAACCTTGACAAGTGTTCTATTATATCCTATACCCGTAAACATAATCCTCTAAATTTTGATTACAAGGTCAATAATAAATCTATAAGTAGGGTAACAGCTGTGCGCGACTTAGGTATAATTATGGATTCAAAATTATCTTTTAATTTACACATAGACGACATAGTAAGCAGAGCCTTCCGTCAACTTGGCTTTATATTAAGGATTTCAAAACCATTTAAACATCCGCATACTCTAAAAGTTTTGTATTTTAGCTTCGTCCGATCACTGCTAGATTTTGCTTGTACTGTTTGGAATCCATACTATGCTTGTCATATTGACCGCATTGAAAAAGTGCAAAAGAAATTTATTAAATCTTTAGATTACCGTGGAAATCATGAATATGTATCATACGTAGATTCAATTACTCGTCACTCTCTTACTACTCTTGCCGACCGACGCGTGATGTTTGACCAAGTATTTCTTTATAAAATCTTGAATAATTTCATTGACGCCCCTGACATTTTGGAAAAAATTGCCTTAAAAGTACCTAGACCTGGTTCCCGTTCACAAAAATTATTTTCAGTCCCTTTCTATAAAACAATTTACACCAGTAATAACCTCTTCAGACGTAGCACAAATACTTATAATGATAAATTTGTTGAAATAGATATATTTAACCACAGCTTAGCATCTTATAAGATGAAATTGCGCAATCAACTGTTAAATACCACATAATGTAATTTATATTTGACTGCATGTATGTATTCTGTTTAAATTGTGGGTAGGTACTTGTACTACACTATTTAAAATTGTATGGAACTCTAAGTCTTTTTGAACCTATTGTTTTCTTATGTAAGTTTTTGTATGTGACTGTTTGTTTCCTGAATAAATAAATAAAAAAATAAAAATAAATTTTATTTATGTTCTTTTTTAAAAAGTGGTTTAACAATCACAGTTTTAATGCGTCAGGAAAAAAGACACTTTGCTTAGGTCATCAACATATTTTTATTAATGTGGTATTAAGCTCACCGTAACACTACGGTTGACTTCATTTTCAAACAGGTAAAACATTGAGTTAGATACTGGGTTTATGTTTCGGCATGTATTTGTAAAGTTTTGTACTGGTGTGTTATTTATATTTATATAGTGATCATTAAAGGCGGGTGCAATTTCCGTAGGCTGTGTCAGTGTGGTGGTATCTATTATTTTGTTCATAAACTTTATACACATTAGCGTTCCGTTTGGCATTATAAATACATTTTTGTAATAGTAGAGAATCTATAATATACATATTTTTATTAGTTGAATTTTTGTTCTTGTAATATTGATGTCTTAAGTAACGTTTAGTTCTAGAGCATTGTCTAAGGCCTTTGGTTATCGTAGTGCGTCAAAGATACGCTAAGGAGGTACGAGTTCGGCGGGTCTGTCTTTAACTAAAAAGACTTTCGCTAAAGGTGTATGTTGCAATGAACATAATGTATGTGCGGTGATGTTCGTAACTACAGCGTAGATGGAAGCACGTTAATAATGGTATTTGGTTTATTCATGCAGCAAAAGAAACATGGAAATAAACATAATGGTCTAGTGTAGTGACAAGCTGATTGGGACGAAGTACAGATATGAGGGACATCATGGCGACACCGACTGAGGCGACACAAGCGCGGGTGGGGGCTTAGCTAACACAAGTGGGCATGCACTGGCCTGATATACTCACATGGACTATTGCCTCTGTCGGGGGCTGCGGATAAAACAAAATGTTAGTAACGCCGTCAGTTCGCCACCACCCCGCACTGGATCCCAAATTACATTCACTAACTCTTGCTTTTCTCAATATAGAAGAAAGGAGAATGCCTACTGAGAATATAGATAGCACACGTGGCTTGCATCGACCCTGTGGTCCGACAAACATTCGAGTTCCCCTACAAATAGCTTGTTTTAGGGCAAACTAGTTATTTATTCTCTTCAGTTGTCTAGTCGCATCGAAAAATACACAATTTATTCAAAATTAAAGTCGGTCATTTACCCGTACAGGATGAATAAGAGATTCAACTACAATAGGAGAAAAATGTATTAATGTTTCAATCAGTTCTGGCCTTTGTTTGTCTTATCGTTCGACATTACATTCATTGCTCTGCGGGTTTTGGGCACAGTAAGGGAAGCGAATATACCCACCATTACTATAATCACCTTCATGCAAATATTCGTAAATCGGTTAGTAGGAGGTCGTGCGTACACCACTAATAACTAGAATAGAACCCCTGAACGCGTGCAGGGCGGGAGCGACGCGGCACTGACCTGTGTCGAAGTGGATCTCGAAGAGGCCGGCGACGTCCTCGTGCAGCGTGTAGATGAGTTGGCGGCCCAGCGGCGACGTGGCTTGCAGCGGAACCCCCAGCGGAGCCCCGGGGGCGGAGTCCTCGCGCGCCTCCAGCACGTAGTGCGCGCGGGGCCAGCTGGGCGCGGCCCCGCCGGCCCACACGCGCACGGCCACGCGCGCCTCCGCGCCGCACGCCGGCACGCCGCCGTCGAAGGCCGCGATGTCCAGCCAGTACAGCGGGCTGTGCGCGTCCAGCGTCTGCTTCAGCGAGATCTGGCCGGAGCGCCGGTCCACGCGGAAGAGCTCGCCGTGGCCGCGCTTCATCTCGTAGCGCACCTCGCCGTTGTCGTTGGCGTCGCGGTCCACGGCGCGCACGCGCAGCACGGCCGTGCCCGGCGCCGCGCCCGCCAGCACGGCGGCGGCGTACGGCCGCTCCACGAACACGGGGCAGTTGTCGTTCACGTCGCTCACGGCCACGTGCAGGCGCGCCCGCGCCACGCGCTGCGCCGGCGCCGCGCTGCGCGCCTCCACCAGCAGGCTGTACGCCTCGCGCTGCTCGCGGTCCAGCGCCAGCCCCGTGCTGCGCACCGCGCCCGACGTCGGGCCCACCTGCCGGACGGCTTGCGTTCTCGTACTACTCTCGGCTCCGATTATTTATAAACTATACGATTAATGACTGTACCGACCTCGAACCCGTCGACCGGGTTCAATATCCGGAATTCAATATGTTCGTTGAGCGCCGCCCCGAGCACGTTGAGCACGGCCACCGTGGTCGGCTTGGTGGAGTTCTCCACGACGGAGCCGTAGTAGTCCGCCTTCTGGAAGGCCAGCCCCGAGTTGTCGGGCTCGCGCACGCGCACGATGACGCGCGCCGTGGCGGAGTACAGCCCGTCGGAGGCGCGCACGCGCAGCGCGTGCTCTGCCTGCAGCGCCGCCGCGCGCGCCACGCGCAGCTCGCCGCCGGCCGCCAGCGCGAACACGGCGTCCGGGTCGCCCTCGATGATGTCGTACTTCAGACTAGCGCCGGCCGCCAGGTCGGGGTCGTGCGCCTCCAGCCGCGTCACCGCCACCCCGTCCGACGTGGGCAGCAGCACCGTGGCCTCGTACACGGCCTGCGAGAACTCCGGCGGGCAGTCGTTCACGTCCGTCACTTCCACCGTCACTTTGGCGACGCTCCCCGAAGGCAGTCTCGGGGTCCCCATGTCGATAACCTGCGAACGAGTTTGACCATGTTTCGTTTGCTGGATATTGGATCGGATGGAGTATAGTAGTTCGCCAGGGACCCACCCTGACGCTGAAGTCGTGGCGCTGCGCGCGCTCGTAGTCGAGGCGCGCCAGCAGGTGCAGCGCGCCGGTGGTGGGGTCGACGCGGAACTGCGCGGCCGCGGCCGGCTGCAGGATCTCGTAGGCGCGCTGGCGGTTGGCGGGCGAGTCGGCGTCGTCCGTGAGCAGCACGAGCGGCGCGGCGCTGTCGGCGTCGGCCACGAGCGCGCCGGGCGCGGCGGCCTCGGAGACGCGGCCGCGGTAGCGCGCGCGGCGCAGCGCGGGCGGGAACTCGTTGCGGTCCAACACGTGCACGCCCACGCGCGCCTGCGCCGTGCCGCCGCCCTGTCCCAGTGCGCCGCTTAGCTTATTCCATACACCACACACGCAGATAGACACTCCCTACTTCTACATCGCCTGTCTATCCGATTGTTGACTTTACAATTTTAAATGACAGTACAGTATGTTGTGTCATCTCTAATTAGTCAAAATCATTTATTTCAATTAGACCACAATAGGCACTTTTGAAAGTCAAACTAATTATTGTAACACTAGAACTGTCAATGTCATCGTTTACTATAAATAGGATGGTTTAGAGAGTGTCGATCAATAACAATGGAACACTGGTGCAGTGAGCTGCTGGTCAAAATAACCGAATATAAACAAAAGATCCAAGTAGTTTTATTCATATATTATATGGTGTCAGAAGTGGGATTCGAACCAACTACCGCACCAACTGTTTCGTCTGTCTGTAGGAGCTCGACAAAATGAAGGTATTGTGGACTTTTTTTAATAGATTTTGATAAAAACATTATTTAATGTTATTGTTCATTGGTTGGAAATATTTATTATTGGTTAAGTACATCGAGAGATCACCCCCCAGTATAATGATTGCAACTAGTAAAGTGAGGTATATCGTCAGTGGAGTATAGAATAATAATGTAATTACCATGTTGATGGCAGTCACCGTCAAGTTGTAAAAGTTGCGCGTCTCATAGTCGAGCGGCGCGGCCGTGGCGAGCAGGCCGGCGGCCGGGTTGAGGCGGAAAAGGCCCTCGCCCCCCTCCAGCGAGAACCAGGGCGCGCTGGCACTGCGCACCTCCAGCGTCGCCAGCGTCGTGCCCGCCGGCTCGTTCTCGAAGACTTCGCACGTGACGTCCGAGGCCAGGAAGCGGGGCGGCGCGTCGACGGGGTCGACGACGAGCACGTGCAGCGGCAGCGTGGCGGCGCGCGCGGCCGGGCCGGGGTTGGCGGCGCGCACGGCCAGCGTGTAGTCGCGCGGGCCGGCGGCCGGCAGCGGGCGCGCCAGGCGCACGTCGCCCAGCGCCGCGTCCACGCGGAACGTGCCGGCCGCGTCGCCCGCCGCCAGCGAGTACAGCACGCGCGCCGCGTCGCCCGCGTCGCGGTCGGCGGCGCGCAGCGCGGCCACCAGCGCGCCCGGGGGAGCGTCGCGCGCCAGCCGCGCCTCGGCCAGGCGCCGCCCCCACTCGGGCGCGTGCTCGTCGGCGTCGTGGACGCGCACGACGACGCGCGCGTAGGCCCGCGCCGCGCGCGGAGCCTGGTCGCGGGCCCACACCGTCAGCTCGTGCACGGCCGCGCTCTCCCTGCCGGCACGTTCACGGGAACTTAAATATTCTCTATACATAGTCTGGCCATAAATACTGTTACAATTAAAAATAAACAAAATATTACATTTGAATTTGGAATCTGTCATTTTTATATGATTTTTTATTGTGTTTTCTTATTTTGGCGCCAATAAATTGTTCAATATTTTGCGATATTAAAATGGAGTGAAGTGAAAGCCAAATGCAATTTTTAAAACTCTCCACACGCTTGGCATTAGTCAAATGTTTGTGTACCGGGCTATTAATAGGTACAATGAGACCTCCTCTGTTTGTGACAGAAAAAGATCTGACCGTCCACGTAGTGTTCGTACAAAAAAGGTGGTCAAAGCAGCAAAGGAAAGAATTCGAAGAAATCCTGTCCGAAAGCAAAAGATTTTATCTCGGGAGATGAAGATAGCACCTAGAACCATGTCGCGTATTTTAAAAGACGACTTAGAACTTGCAGCCTATAAGAGACGCACTGGACATTTTTTAAATGATAATTTAAAAAAGAATAGGGTTATAAAATCTAAACAACTACTGAAGCGGTACGCAAAGGGCGGTCACAGAAAAATGTTGTTTACGGATGAGAAATTTTTTACAATTGAGCAACATTTTAACAAACAAAATGACCGAATTTATGCTCAAAGCTCTAAGGAAGCGTCTCAATTAGTCGACAGAGTGCAACGTGGGCATTATCCGACTTCAGTGATGGTTTGGTGGGGTGTTAGCTATGAAGGAGTGACTGAGCCATACTTTTGCGAAAAAGGTATCAAAACATCGGCACAAGCGTATCAAAATACCATTCTTGAGAAGGTAGTTAAGCCCCTTAACAACACCATGTTCAATAACCAACAATGGTCCTTCCAGCAAGACTCGGCGCCGGGTCATAAAGCTCGGTCCACGCAGTCTTGGTTGGAAACGAACGTTTCCGACTTCATCAGAGCTGAAGACTGGCCGTCGTCTAGTCCCGATCTTAATCCGCTGGATTATGATTTATGGTCAGTTTTAGAGAGTAGGGCTTGGTCTAAACGTCATGATAATTTGGACTCCCTAAAACAATCCATACGATTGGCAGTGAAGAATTTTCCCATGGAAAGAGTGCGTGCTTCTTCTATTGATGGCGTGGCCTCAACGTTTAATGGACTGTATTGCAGCCAATGGAGACCACTTCGAATAAGCTTTTTATGTTTTAAATTGTTTTATATTTATGTCTTAAACTTACATACTGTAAAAGTAATGAATGTTATTTGCAATAGAAAAAATATTTTTTTTATTGTTACAGTATTTATGGCTAGACTAGGTATATTACACCGAGTAAATTTACGAGGGTCGTTCAACAGATAATGCCGTTGTTGAATTTCTTAATCACATTTATGACGCCTAGGAATACTTCGCGATTTATCCAAGGCGTTCGATTGTGTGTTTCATTATACATTGATCAGGAAGCTATCTCATTACGGAATAACAGTGTTTCTTTGAACCTTCTTACCTCATACCTAAGTTACAAGGTACAGAGTTCAAGTAAACGGCATTATTTCCGCCGGGTCTACTGTGAGCATGGGTGTTCTACAGGGTTCGATTTTGGACTCGTTATTATTTCCCATCTAAATAAACGACTAGCGTGAACAAAAGATACTTCACTATTATTGAAGCTCAGATGACAACAAGCAGTTTTTAACAATGTGACTTTCAGTATCTTAGGCATTATTGTTAAGGTAAGGACCGTGTGAGATTTTGTCGCACTCATCGACTGCTATGTACGTTCTGACAGCTTCAGTATTTGGTCAACCCATCTATATGTTCTTTTGATCGGTATCGATGTTGTCGGATAACTCAGCGACACCTGTTTGTGGAACTGGTTGCAAACTGTGTCTGAAGGTGAAAGTGCCTGTCTTCAGAACAGGTCTGCCTTAACTGCCGTGGTCCTTTCCTCAAAAGGCCACTATACACATTATATATATATTTTGTTTATAATCTCTGGACTTTAAAAGAGTTTGTTTCGGCATTTCTTCTCTGAATACAATTCCGGCTACTTTGTTCCTAAAAGATCCATTGCGCAGACAAACGGCTAACTTCAGACTCGCCAAGATACGTCGGCCGTACTGTAGTAAGGAAGGAAATGCAAACTTCTAGATGAAGCTGTAAAAGTGCTGTTTCTAAAAATAAATTCATTGTTTCACTGTTAATAGCACTTATTTGCGCGAGTGACACTCCTGCGCACTCTGAGCTAGCTTACCATCGCGTTGTGTATCGTGTGTGATTATTGTTATAGTGAAATTTGATACGGTTGTCACATTTAGACCTCGCAATAGAAAAGAAACCAGTTTCAGTATGCAAACATGAATCGAAAACTACGAGCCACGAAATTCTGAAAATAATTGTGACTTTAAAGTACTGCAGATTTTGTCAGGTTACTTAAAGTCGTTATTTTTAAATAAAGCAGATATTTTATACATTGGGTATAAGAGTATCGGCGTGGGAGTACCTGTCGAGCGGCTGAGCGAGCTCGAGCACGCCGCTGAGCTCGTGCAGGCGGAACAGGCGCGCGGACGCCGGCGCCCGCGTGGCGGCCAGCCCGTACAGCACGCGGCCCGCGCCCGCCGCCGCCAGCGCCACCAGCGCCTCGCCCGCGCGGCTCGCCTCCGACGTCTCCACCACGTACTGCTCCTGGCTGAACGACACGCCGCCCTCGTTGGCGTCGTTGATCACCGTCACGTTCACCTGCGCCGACACGGAGAGTCACACCTGTCGCGAGCCGGGACGCGACGCATACAGTGCGCGCCTTCTTACCGGAGCGTACACCACGTGGGTGCCGTCGGTGACGGACACGTTGAGGCAGTACTGCGCCTGGCGCTCCCAGAGCAGGCGTCGGGCTAGCACCAGACTCCCGTCTTCTCTACCGATGTAAAATTCTTGTCGCGGGTCGCCATCTGACAGTTCATACATGAATAAGTTTTTTACTTATATAATTTAAACCGTTTCAATGTGCCATCTGCCTCTCGGAAGCATTCTCACTTTAACTGCGTCAACAATGTAAAAATACCTATGATGCTGTAATACAAGGCATCGCCGTCGGGATCCGACGCTTGCAGCACGGCGAGCAGGAAGCCGGGCGCGTCCAGCTCCGCCACCTGCAGCGGCGGGGGCGCGGGGAGCGTGGGCGCCGCGCCCCCGCCCCGCGCCACGCCGCGCAGTACGGCGCGAGCCACGCTGCAGCGCGGGCGCGCCGCCGCGTCGCAGGCGCGCAGCGTGACGTCGTATGAGTCGCCGGGCGCCAGCGCCAGGCGCGGCGCCAGCAGCAGGCGGCCGGTGGCGCCGTGCACGCGGAGCAGGCCGCGCGCCGCGCCCCGCGCCCGCGCCCAGTACCGCACCGTGCCGTTGGCTCCCTCGTCCGAGTCGAACGCCACCACCTGGGGACCGGCCGGACGGTCAGGCGCGGCCTCGCGGCTGCCGCGTCGCATGCATCGCGTGCAAGTCGTGCCTTACCGTGGCGACGTAGTGCCCGATGGGTACGGGATCATCGTAAAAGTCCCAGGGCGCGCGCACTCCTGAACCTTCTTCGTCGTCTTCGGCTTCCCACTCGGTACTGCTTTCGTCGGCGACAGGTAGCGCTTCGACATCGCCGGCCTCGTCTCCCTGCAAGCCATAGCACACTGCTGCACGCTACCACGCCACACACAATTACTGTTCACACTCGATCTTCTAAAAAATCTCCACCGGCGCTAACTTCAGTATCTTTCCGAAACCAAGTTAATAAAATTCACTCCAAACCACACAGATTTGCAATTCATAGGACACATGCGTTATTATATAAGAAATATCGAGTAGCGGCGTACCTGCGGCTGGGCGTCGAGGGGCGCGAGGGGCTCGAGGGGCGCAGGCACGCGGATGTCGTAGAAGCGCTGCGCGAAGACCGGCGCGTGGTCGTTGAGGTCGAGCAGACGCACGACGAGGCGCGCCGTGCTGGCCAGCTGGCCGTCCGACGCCTGCACCTCCAGCGCGTGGCTGGCGCCCGCCTCGCGGTCCAGCGCGCGCCCCGTCGTCACCACCTCCCCTGCACCGGCACCACTTATTCGAATCCAAAATTCACGTAAGGTACGCTAGTGAAAGTAATCAATGCAATATGGAGAGATGACGCACCGGTGTGTTCGTCTATTGAAAACAATCCGTCGGGGTTGCCGGCGACGATGGAGTAGGTGATGTTGGCGGGGGTGGGGGACGCGTCGGCGTCGATGGCGCGCACCGTGGCCACGTGGGTGCCGGCGGCGCAGTGCTCGGGCACCGCGGCCCAGTACGCGGCCTGCTCCGGCCACGGCACCATGTCGTTCACGTCCTCCACCTCGATGTACACCTGCCGGCACAAGGTCCGAGTGAGCACTGCCAGCGCTATGCGAGCAGACGGGGCGCCACCGCTGCGCCTACACTGACCTGTACACACGAGTGTCGCGGCACCAGCCCGTGGTCTTGGGCGCACAGAGTCAGCCAGTAATGAGGAACGGACTCCCGGTCCAGCGGAGTCAACGTGCGAATAACACCTGCGAAAATACATGAGTACATATCCGAACATGGCTAGTGGTCATCGCAGGGTATACCGACGAGCGGGGAGCAGTACCGGCGTCATCGACGGAGAAGTGCGCCATGCCGGAGCCGGCCACGATGTAGTAGGCGAGGCGCGAGTCGCGGCCGGCGGGGTCGGCGTCGGAGGCGGCCGCCGTGAGCACGACGGCGCCGCGCTGGCTGTCCTCGCGCACGGCGCCCGCCAGCACGGCGTGGTCGCTGAACTGCGGCGCGTGCGCATTCTCGTCCACGTCCACCACCTGCGCACCAACACACCGTTACACCCTCACACTACACACACACTGCGTCGTCGTCGCCGCTAGCTTACCTCGACGATGACTGTCGCCTCAGACCACAGCGCCGGTTGGCCACCGTCTGTGGCGCGCACTGTCACTCCATATACCTATAATATATAATTATTTTAGTAGATTTATAGACTGGGTCGGCTCGACCGGAGTGATATAACGGCCTGACACACAACCACAGCGTTGTGTCTCGCCGTGTGAGTGAGTGTTGAATGTAGAAATAATAATAAAACGGGTGTACTCGATCCCCACGCTATCATATAGCTGAATTTAATTATTTATAAAAATGTAGTACCGAATAGCTCGATAGATGGCGTTGGGATCGAGTTAAATGGCGATATGGTTTCGTTACACGGCAAATGGTATATAGCAAACTTGACAAGCATAAAATTGTCTTGCTCTGAAGTACATAGTTTCATTCGGGGATCCCTGGCTTCAAGGCACTCTGTACTCGTATTGTACAGTGAGGTTATCGGAGGCCCAATCCTTCTTCTCTCCAAATCCCTCTCCAACCCCTAAATCTCCCAAATCCCTAATCCCCAAAAGGTCCATGGGCGGCGCTGATTGCTTACGATCAGGTAATCCGTCAGCACGTTAGCTGACTTATACCATAAAAAAAAACAATTGGAGACTGACCTGTCTTTCTTCGAAGTCCAATAATTTTGCGGTTCGTAAAGTGCCAGAAGTAGCGTCGATGGTGAAAACTACGTCGTCAGCAGCTTGATCGGGCAAGGAGTAAGTCACGATGCCGCCCGCGTCCAAGTCGGGGTCGAACGCTTCCACGACGGCCACCAGCGTGCCCACGGGCACGTCCTCGCGCACGCGCGCGCTGTACGTGGGCAGGGCAAAGCGGGGCGCGTTGTCGTTGACGTCGTCGACCGCGACGCGCACCAGCGCCTCGGCGTGCAGGCCGCCGCCGTCGGTGGCGCGCAGCGCGAGCTCGTAGAGGGCGCGGCGCTCGCGGTCCAGCGCCGCGCACACGCGCAGCACGCCGCTGTCGCGCTCCACGCAGAACTCGCCCTCGTCCGCGCCGCTCACGCTGTACGTGATGCGCGCGAAGTCGCCGGCGTCGCGGTCGGTGGCGTTTGCGCGGAATATGGCCGTGCCGTTCAACGCGTTCTCGGTCACGCGAAAGCTCGCCAAAGTCTTTTCGAATCGTGGGCTATTATCGTTGACGTCCAGAATCGTGACAGGCAGTAGACGGGATACGGAGTGTTGAGGCGTTCCCAGATCGTACACAGTGATGTTCAGGTAATATTCACTCTCCCGTTCGCGATCCAAGTACCCGATGACTTGGAGCTCCCCAGTGTCTGGATCGATACGAAACGCGGAGTCGGAGTCGCCTCCGGAGATACCATACACCAGTAGCCCGTTGTAGCCTAGATCGCGGTCACGCGCGCGTAACTTTACTAGTGACGTCCCGAGTGCAACTGACTCATTTACTTTTACTTCAACAGGGAAATCAAGGAATTCCGGAGCGTGTAGGTTCTCTCCGTATCGAGACGGTGCTAAGGAAAATTCGTCAGAGAGATCTTGTGGTGCATTGCTTCGTTCGGCTGCCGCCAACAGCTCCGTGAGGCGACGAGCCACGCCCGTGTCGCGGCACTCCAAGGAGCTGGGCTCAGCGCCGCTGCCTCCGCTGCTTACCAGGTGTAGGGTTAGTGATGTAGCGTCGGCGAAATGCGTACCGTCTGTTGCTGTGACGTTAAGAAGCCTGGAGTCGGCGCGGACGTCGCTCAAGTCACAGGAGAGACTCACAACACCGGTGCCTGCATCGAGAGAGAAACAATTGTCCTCGTTACCACCAATGATGCGGTAGGAGACTACGTCACCAGCGTCAAAGTCGATCGCAGAAAGTGTGACAATCTCGGAGCCGATGACGAGCTTCCGTGGTAGGTAGCCTACACAGTCTACGCGCTCGAACTGGGGCCGGTTATCGTTGACGTCCTCGAGTCGGACTACGAGTCGCATTTCGGCTTGTCTGCGATATGGAAGTCCCCAGTCGCTCGCTCGTATCCGCAGAGTGTACTCGCGGCGCATACTTTCATAGTCTAACAGTCTCGTTGTGCGCACAGCGCCCGAGAAATGGTCGACGTCGAATGGTACTGGTTGCAAATTGGCAATACTATAGGAAATATAGGCGTTATCTCCAGAATCGGCGTCCCTAGCGACAACTCGAGCGACCACGGCGCCGCTAGGTCCGTTCTCTTGGACCGTTACCTCGGTCACTTCTCTTTCGAAAATAGGGTCGTTATCGTTCGAGTCGAGTATTGTTATCTTTACCTTCGCTGAAGATTGTTTACGCGTACCGGCGTTTCCTTGATCTATGGCTGACACGGTCAAAGTGTAAAGGGCTTTGTCTTCAGCATCAAGCGATACGGCGGTGTATAATACACCCGTGTCCGGATTAACATAGAACTCTTCCCCTTCGTTGCCACCGACAACTTCAATATAAACTCTTGCATTTCTTCCTTCATCGCGATCGCTCACTTTGAGCCTGATGACGGGTGTATTCGGCGGCACGGTTTCTGGAATACTCGCCTCGTAAACCTCTCGGCTGAAGACGGGCGCATTGTCGTTGGCGTCGACCAGCGTCACGGGCAGAGTAAGGTAGGAGGCGCGTGGCGGGCGGCCCGCGTCCTGCGCGCGCAGCGTCAGGTTGTAGCCGGCCGGCGCGCTCTCGCGGTCCAGCAGCTCGTGCACCAGCACGTCGTACTCGCCTGCTTGCGCCGACGGCCTAACGCGGAAGTGGCCATCGGGATCCCCATCTACAATTTCAAGACTGGCTATGCGCCCGTGTTCTCCAGCGTCTTCGTCCGTCACTTCTACGATGGCATAGATTTCAGCAGTGGAATTTTCTACAAGTTCAGGCATACGCCGCACATGAAGCACTGGTGCATGGAGATTGACGCGTTTCACCCGTACTGTGACTGTGGCGCGGGCTGCTGGCGCTTCCTCGCCTCGCGCTAGGAGCGACGCACGATCGCGAGCTAGGACGGCAAACGTATGCCGCGTGCTTTCGGTAGCGGATAGGGGCCGAGTGATGGTGATTACGCCAGTGGTCGGGTGGATTGCGAAGCGATCGGTAGGTTCCGCTATACTATAGTAGATCTCTCCGTTAAGGCCGAGATCAGCATCCTCGGCGGTAACGCGAGCAATGCTGGAGTGTAAAGGGGCGTCCTCTGGGACCACAGCTTCATATTCGGTGGGATAAAACAAAGGGCTCAGGTCGTTCTCGTCAGCGATGGACACGACCAGCACTGTGTCGGCTTCCAGCTGGCGTCCGTTAGCTAGCTGCGCAGTGGCCCGCACGTCGAGTCTATATAAGTCGCGGCGCTCGCGGTTTAGCACGTCCGCGTGGCCGGCGCGCGTTCTTATCGATAAAAAGCAAAAGTCGCCAACAGTTCGTTCCTCCGCTTTGAAGAATTTGTCCTTGTCCCCGTGGCGGATGCGGAACCGTACACGAGCGTCCGGCGCCGGCAAGTGCACGCCCAGCGGGTCGTCGGCGGGCGGCTGCAGCGCGTAGGTGCGCGGTGGACTGTTCTCAGGAATGGAGAGGTTGTACAGCGCGCTGGAGAAACGCAGCTCGGGGGGCGGACCAGGCCCGCCGCTGGCGCTCCACACCAGCCCCCACAGCGCCGCCAGCGCCAGCCACGCGCGCACGCCACGCATCGCGCTACTCCACGCGCCGGCTGCCTGCAACCGCAACCGCACTGAGTAAGTATGGCCGTAGGTACCACCTAAATTCCTAACTACTAATGGGGTCAGTGTAGGTGTAATAAGGAGCATAGTATATGTACCATCAAGATATTCTCTGTCCTTTTTTTGATTGTCTATGGTAAAGTTAAGTGTTGTAATGGCAGCACAGAAATTGTCAAAATACGTTGACTCTTCCAAAGACGCGTCTAGTGAGCTCACCTCATAAAGTGTGCGCGTGAGGTGGGGCGCGGCGCGCGCGCAGCTCGGGTCACGCGGCTGTACAGGGCGGCTGGTACATCGCCGCTTGCCTGCAATTACACACATTACCTCATTACTTCATGTACATACTCACGTTTGTACGCTATGAGACAATAGTTGTCAGATTTTAAGTGATTTAGCAAAAAAGTCGAAGATGGACACATCACTTCTTGTCGGAAAAAAATTCATGAAAGGGATATTTAACCGGCAAATAACAAGAAACGTTAATTTATAGATTTATCAGGAAAATTTTAAAGTGTCGGTGGTTTCTAAATTAGTGATATAAATTGCATAATTTTACGACCGCGAGACAGGTACACTGACAAATATACTGAAAAGCATGATAGAGGGACACGACCATTGTCGCTGTCAGCCATCACCAATCAGAGAGCAGTGTATTAATGTCCGTGGTTTTAAGAATCGTTAATATAACCGACCAATTACCACTGTTCCGGATCCGGTATTGTCCGGTAGTGTCGTTATTATAAGGACCACGCAGAGGACACGATGAACTATACGATGGCAGTGTGCCCTCAGGGGAGTGATCGGCGGCGGCAATCACTCGCGCGCAACCTTAGTCGAGGCCATGGTGCGGAGCGAGAGAGGCTGGGAAGCCGTCTCCTCTTTCTGCAAAGCCGCGATGATCGCTAAGGAGGAGGCGGAACACGTGAGGGAACTCTACTCCTCACGCAGACCCAGAGACCCGAGCGTACCTACTTAAAGCCAACAGACCACCACAGATGGGACTCTAACAGGGCCGATGTTCAGCCGGGGTTGCAGGGTTAGCGCAATAAGGTGCCGCGGCCTCGGTTTAAGCAGGGGTAGGAACGTGTCATACACTGTGTGCCTCCTAAAACGAAAAATAATATCTATGAACTATACTTTTAAAATTGTTAATAGTTAATAGTTATGTCATCAAAGTCTTAAATGGTAATCATTTAAGACTTTGATGACATAATTATTATGTCATCTTACACGCATCGACCTAAGTGCGATTTATGTTTGTTTTTACCCGATTACGGCAAAGCAAAAGGAGGGTTATGATTTTGACAGGCTAATTATGATGCATTTATGTTCATCTGTTCCCTCGTAACTTCTAAACTACTTATCAGAATTCGACATACCATTAGAAACGTCTTAACTGTCCGCTGGTTATAGGTTATATAGGTTATACGTTGTCAAAGTGCTACGGTAGGTAGGTATACATATGTAACGTGTGACTACGCCTTTCAGTATTCTGAATATCTTGTTTAATACTTTTTCAGCCTCGTTTTTTGTCGTACTTGGGTTTTAGTTTTAATACTTTTTATTATGACAGGCTATGTATGTATGTTCCCTCCTAACTTCTATACTACTTATCAGAATTCGACATATGTGACATATCATTAGAAACGTCTTAATTGTCCGCTGGTTATAGGCTATATGATGTATCACAACATCGAATGTGGTGTCTTCTAGCGGACAAAACAACCAGAGTAAAAAAATAAAGTTAAGATAATTATACCGTGTTTAGTTTTTTTTACGTAAGTAATAAATAGGTCGGCAAACGAGCAGACGGATTACCTGATGGTAAGCAATCAGCGCCGCTAATGGACACTCGCAACGGAAGAGTTACGAGTGCGTTGCCGAACTTTTAGGGCTTAGGGATTTGGAGATTTAGGGATTGGGGGCGTGGAAGGATTGGGCTAGTCACGGACGACGTGAAATTTATTTTGTTATGCTTTATTTTGACTTCAAAGTCTTCTGTGACTTCGCATTATCTCCTAAAGTATTTATTTAATTTGAATGATATAAAGGCAAAAAATAATCTTCATTTGTCATTATTGCAAGCATTATGTCTACGCAGAGCAAAGACAGCTCGAATGTAGAAAAGCGTGTTCTGCATGGCCCCAATAGTCTATAATAAATAAAATACCAAAGCCAATAAAAGAATCAAATTGCAATGGTTGTAAAAAGCAATTGAAATATTTTCTATTTTATAAATTGTATCATAACTTAAACGACTTTACTAATTTTATATTATGTACTGAAACGCACTTTTCGTTACAATGTTATTAGTCAACAATGTCGTTTGCGATTTGGCTAATTTTGGTCTTGAATTAAGTATTCTTGAAAGTCCAGAGAAGGTTTGTGCGAAGAGAAAATTAAATAATATAATAAAAAGTTTTTATTATTTGTATTATTTTGGTGTTAAAGCGTATTTGGGGCGCATAATATCAAGTTCTAGTGATCAGTCCAGGGGAAAAAAAAGAAAAGAGATAGATAAGAATAATATTATGATACTAAAATATAAGTAAATAGTGATCTGTTAAATATATTTTTTTTAAGATTGAGTTATTATTATATTTTTTAATATACATAATTGAAGTGGGGTACTTGCAAAATAATACACCATAAAATCGCAACAATAATCTCGGAAGTTGCGGGTGAGTATTGAGTTACTATTGAGGGAGAAACCAGAATTTTGCGTGCCGTGAAACAGACGCTATGATAATCGGTGATCAACTCTGGCAACAAAACTTTTATAATACTTACCTATTAGGTACATCCATCACCTGTGGGCGCACGGACAGCAGATACTTAGTTTAGTAATAGGGTTTCTACGTTTTGAGGACGTAACCTTAAAAATGAGCGGTACGTACCTAATTTTATGTGTAACTACTTCGATTTTGTTATTTTGCTATAGACTGTTTTTTAGAAATACACCACGCTGCGGATGCCGCGGGTGGAGGCTAGTATCTGTCTACATATATTTGTCGGTAAACTAATTATCTTGACTGCGACTTCGGTCGCATACCCAGCTAACTTGCAGCAGAAATATTTTTTTTTATTATTGCTTTTTTCCGAGATAAGTTTTTCGGCTGTATCAGATATCATCAGAAAGAAACGGTACCATCACTAGAGTTTACTTAAAAGCGAGATCGTAATATTAATGGACGGCTAGATGTACACATGACAAATGTTTATTTTTTTAATTTTTAAGTATAGCATAGAATAATATTTATTTGACTATCGTGACAATAACCTTCGACTGTATTTACATGACAAATTGAGAATCGTTTGTGGTCTTGAGTGGGTCGTAGGTATTTGGTTAATTAGAAAGTAATCATTTTTCATGAAATAGGAGGAGAATCACCTGATGGTAAGTGAGCGGTGCCGCGCATGGACCCCTGCAGCACCAGACGAGTCAAAGGCGCGTTGCAGGATCGATGTTCTAAATTAATCGAAACATATCGGTCGTTGGGTCATTGGTTTCAACCTTGAAGTACGAATTGGAGGTGTTACTTGATATTTAAAACGAGTACTACGAGTAGTATCTTATTTACTTTGAGTTCTTTTTATGTGATTAATTCGGCAATCCGTCTGATTATCTGATGGTAAGCAATCGTAACACCAGGAGAGTTACGAGTGTGTTGCCGGCCTTTTTGAGATTAGAGTTGTGGAGATTTAGAGATAGGGGAGGGAAAGGATTTGGCGTCCCAGTCTGTGAGGCCGTAGTATCACTTCGGTCGAGCCAACCCATTACTGCAGGAGGTTGGCTCTCCCACACTTAAATTAATTTTGAATAGTGCTAATCGTTTTACAGTTAGTATTGCCAATTCTATGAGTCGCGACCACGAACAGGTCATTCGACGCACCAATTTTTTTAACTTCGCAAGCCATTCGATCAAAATTTGCGTATTGCTTTTATTGACCTTAAAAAGCTTCAAAGCAAAAAAAAATCAAACCATCATCATCATCATCATTATCAGTCTATAAATGCCGAGGTTAAGGCGCCCGCTTCTCATGCTTGTGGGTTCGAAACCCGGCAAGTACCAATGTTACTTTTTCCGAGTTATATGTACTTTCTATGATTATTTAGACACCACTAACATACGGTGAAGGTAAACATCGTAAGGAAACCTGGACTAATAATTTCTAATTATAAGTTTGAAATCGCTAACCCGCATTGAGCAAGAGTGGCGAATAATGTTCAAACCTTCTCCGTGTGAGGAGAGGCCCTTGCTCAGCAGTAGACACCACAGGCTGATGATGATAATGATATGATAGTTGTCATTAAACCGCACACCGGGTGCAACAACGTCATAGCTAACAAATAACGTTTTTTCCAGGAGATCGATTTAAAAGTTGTTGTTTTGATTAAGTAAAATGTATAAACGATAACATTATAATATATCGATGCCCAAAATGTTGATTGTACTCCATATTCGAAAATTAAGGTTGTTTCAGAAATAAAATTTTATAAGTGGTACATCTTTAATGTTTTTAAAAACGATACCTACATTTATGACGTTATTGTAAATAAACATAGAACTTTTCAGTTTACAATAACGTCATAAAGGCCAAACTGTCAATATTGAAATAATTGTAATAAAAGACAATATTACTTGCTACTTGTAATAGAAATAGAACCAGAAAGTCAGAAGTGTTCACTTGTGACAGTCTTGCCCCAAAATTGTATAAAATATTTGTCATAATTTCCTTTAAAATGACATTGTTGCTCCTGCTCACAAACACTCCAGGCCGCGCGCAACTGACCAATTAGGACATGCTCGCACTATAGTTCACAAAAAACTGCCAAAACCATAACGACATTTACGCCCTCAGTGGGTCATTTTAGGAGTTACATTTATGATATTGTTGCACAGCCTGTAGACGCATATTTGACATCGTTGACATCATTTGTGATCAAAAACTCATTTTGCCAATTTTAGCATTTACCTTATAGCACCCGGTGTGCGAAAAAATATTTTTTGATGATTGTTTTTTTTTCTTTTGAAATGTAACTTACGAATATATCTGGGTCCACGATAATCTATGATGTTGTTTTAAATAATAGCAAAAATAAACACACAATTTAATTTAGTACACTTATTTTGTACTTAAAATATTTCGTTTTCTTGACGAGTGTAGCCGTCGTCGGCGGGCGTGTTTGGCACGATATCATGTGTCGCCTATAGTCGCCCGTGGCGGTCGAAGGGTAAAAATATTTATAAAAAAATATATTTTGATTGGGCCTCGAACAATCGTACCGAATCTCACCCAAGTC